CACCCAACACCCACTCACTCAAATAAACAACCCCTAACCCACCACTCATCCAGTCAGTCACTCAAACACACAGCCTCTAACCCACCAACTCACTTAAACACACAACCACTAACCCACCCCACCCAACACCCACTCACTCAAATACACAACCTCTAACCCACCACTCTTCCAGTCAGTCACTCAAACACACAACCCCTAACCCGTCCACTCACTCAAATACACAACCCCTAACCCACCCCACCCAACACACACTCACTCAAATACACAACCCCTAACCCACCACTCTTCCAGTCAGTCACTCAAACACACAGCCTCTAACCCACCCCACCCAACACCCACTCACTCAAAATACACAACCTCTAACCCACCACTCTTCCAGTCAGTCACTCAAACACACAACCCCTAACCCGTCCACTCACTCAAATACACAACCCCTAACCCACCCCACCCAACACACACTCACTCAAATACACAACCCCTAACCCACCCACTCACTCAAACACACAGCCTCTAACCCACCCCACCCAACACACACCTGTAGCAGGGCAGTGAATGATGTGATAGCCAAACACACGCTACGGGTGAGGGACGTTTATTTCGCCAATGGATCTGTCACATATTTATCTATCTAATATGTAGTATCTAGTATCTACACCCTGAAACATATTAAAGGAATGATAAGTAATATTAACAATATACATAATGCAATCATCGACATCACAGTATTACAAACCATTTTACATTACAAACACATCTTCTTCATATATTAGTTGTTACACTGTACAATGATCTGCTAACTGATGTAAGAACCAAATAGAATAATTATTTATATATTAACTAGGTGTAAAGAGATTATAAATCTCTTTCAAAATACATACATATACATGAATCTACGAGTGTGATACACTTATGTGTTACACAAATATAGAAACTGACTATACAAGTTATTATGTGCCTACCCTGTGGGTGAGACTGGGGTGTCTTCCCGACTAGCGCCGCAACTTATAATTCCGGATATCTGAATAAAACATATACTTTTATAACAATGACTAATACAACTATTTACATACACGTTAAAATATTTCTCCGGATCCCGTATAGTACAGACTGTATATTATACAGAACTGATCACAAAAGCATTTAAAACATAGCCTATTCCATAAAACAACACATACATTCTTCCTCATACATACAAGAATAAAGAGACAGAAAAGTGATATATTAGTAATTACCCAAACTTTCATTTATAAGTCTTGTTTTCCACATTTATTTAAATAGATTGTAACTGAGAATATGATAATATTAAACACGTTTAGGTAAGTTTAGTATTATAGGTTTAATATACTGCAACATTTAACTGCAATAACATACAATACAAATCTATATTAAACTAACCTGATTTGAGATAATTTCACCTGTCAACTTGTCTGTGCAGGAAATGTGTGCAGACTGAGAACATGCAGTGAGACAAAGGGTCAACTTTGAGGGTTAGCTTGGCCAATCAGTTGAGCACGTCATGGCACACACACACACACTCAAATACACAACCCCTAACCCACCACTCACCCACGCACTCACTCAAACACACAGCCTCTAACCCACCCCACCCAACACACACCCACTCAAATACACAACCCCTGACCCACCACTCATCCACTCACTCACTCAAATACACAGCCTCTAACCCACCCCACCCAACACACACCCACTCAAATACACAACCCCTAACCCACCACTCATCCACTCACTCACTCAAATACACAGCCTCTAACCCACTCCACCAAACAGCCACTCACTCAAATACACAACCTCTAACCCACCACTCACCAACTCACTCACTCAAATACACAGCCTCTAACCCACCCCACCCAACACCCACCCACTCACCCTGTCAGCCACTCAAACACACAACCCCTATCCCACCAACTCACTCAAACACTCAAACACTAACCCACTCCACCCAACACCAACTCACTCAAATACACAACCTCTAACCCACCACTCATCCAGTCAGTCACTCAAACACACAACCCCTAACCCACCCACTCAAATACACAACCTCTAACCCACTCCACCCAACAGCCACTCACTCAAATACACAACCTCTAACCCACCACTCATCCAGTCAGTCACTCAAACACTCAAACACTAACCCACTCCACCCAACACCAACTCACTCAAATACACAACCTCTAAACCACCACTCATCCAGTCAGTCACTCAAACACACAACCCCTAACCAACCCACTCAAATACACAACCTCTAACCCACTCCACCAAACAGCCACTCACTCAAATACACAACCTCTAACCCACCACTCATCCAGTCAGTCACTCAAACACTCAACCTCTAACCCACCCCACCCACCACCCACTCACTCAAATATACAACCTCTAAACCACCACTCATCCAGTCAGTCACTCAAACACACAACCACTAACCCACCCACTCAAATACACAACCTCTAACCCACTCCACCAAACAGCCACTCACTCAAATACACAACCTCTAACCCACCACTCATCCAGTCAGTCACTCAAACACTCAACCACTAACCTACCCAAACACTAACGGGATCAGGTGCCATAGTTTCCCAATTTCGTAGATGGATGCTCATGATGTCAATCACTGGATTGTCTGGTTCAGATTCTATTATTCACAGACCGCTGTCATGAAGCTGGAATATTGCCGAGTATGGCGTTAATAACAAACAAACAAACAAACAAACAAACAAACAAACAAACAAACAAACAAACAAACAAACAAACAAACACTCAACCTCTAACCCATCCACCCACTCATTCAAACACCCAACCACTAACACAATCCATCCACTCACTCAATCACTCACTCAAGTTATCAGCCACTAAAAACTTCCCTTCAGTCGTTCACTCAAACATCCCCTCACTCGCCCTCACTCGCGTGAAAAGGGACAGTACAGCTGTGACTGTGTGGTTGAAAGGTCCAAACATCGATTGATTGTTTTGTGTTTGTTCAACGCCGCACGATTACTGCAAATTACGATGGCGTGTACATTATTACGAGTATTTGGTATTGCGAACATCCATGCGAGCCGTCAGGGTACGATTACACGCTATCAATGTGCATGGACACCCGATCCATTAAGTCCCCTCTTACGAAAATCATCATCTTCCCGAGGCAAGGGAGTTAACTGACTTTAAAAGTCCAGTTTCCACCCTTGCTGAACAAGGCTGGAATTCCTGGGCTAGATCATAGCGCCACCAGTGGCTATTACGAGTTGTGTCCCTTCTAAGCCTCTCCTATGGACCAATTAGATGCCACCACGCATATTACTTGCATTTGCTTCAAACAAAATGGCGGCGCCAAGTCAAGACGATCTGGTCGATAATTATTATCCATGTTGTGATATAACGGGTCTTACATCGCGAAGTGCATCAAATAACGTGAGCAACTTGATTAAAAATATGAAAAGATCTGAAAAATAATCTGTTGACAACGAGTTGGCGATACACATGCTTTACAAATCCTGCAATCGACCGAAATCTGCATGACAGTTCACGAACCGGATTTCGATTCCGTTGCACGATTTTGACTGGACTATGTAAAAACTCGTTAGTCCAGCCAAAATGTAACTCCATAATACCAGCCTAGTTCGACAGGGTGAAAACTGGACTTTTAAAGGGAGTTAACTATCTTGCCTCGGGAAGATGGAAAATCATAGGTGCTTGGGGATCAGTTCTACCCAGAAAGCCCTATGGGAGAATGAGCGAATCACGGTACACATACTCATTTCTAGACCCCAAGAAACATGTTATTTTGTTGCAGTTACACAATCCCAACGTCAGGGTGGTCAGGAGCTGGCTTTGGGGTGGTTAAGCTCTTAAGGACGATTCATTCATTTCCTTGCTGTAGTTAAGTTTTCCCCTCTTAGCAATGAAGTTGTGTTTATTTGTAAGGTGCTGTAATTCGCTTTCAGAGTTGCGTCCCTTAGCCAGGCAGGATCAGCTGATCGTCACCATCGAACATCCATCCCACATCGAACTGACACTGATATAAATGAAATACCATTCTAAATATATTTTGGGGATATTTTGCAAATCATTGGTTGCGTTACACCACAAACGTACTGTAATCATTTACGATGTACTTTCATGGGAGGCGACTGCCAATAAATGTGCGCTAAGGTAAAGAATGGCACTGGCCGCCGAGGTAAAAAACTAACCCTGATGACATGCATTAACCAAGTCAGCGATCCTGACCACCCGAAGCCGTTAGTCGCCTCTTACGACAAGCATAGTCGCCTTTACGACAAGCATGGGTTGAGCAAGATTTAGTCTAAACCGGATCTTCACGGGTATGGTCTTCAGCAACCCATGCTTGCTGGATCGGGTAGTCAGGATCGCTGAGTTGGTCGATGCATGTCATCATAACCCAATTACGTAGAGCGATGCTCATGATGTCAATCACTGGAATGTCTGGTCCAGACTCGATTATTTACAGACCGTCATAACCGTCATATAGCTGGAATGCGGCGTTTAACAACAAACAAAGAAAACCCCACAAAATAAATCCTGCCCTTGGCCAAATTGTCTAAAGCCTAACAAATCTCTATGCAGCGTTATATCGGTGTGTTCGAATCCAAGATTAAACACAGTTATTTCTGAAAGTATTGTTTATTAGTTTCATTTAGTCCTGGATCTCATCTGGATGGACTGAATCAGAAGCAGTTAGATCCCAAGACATTGACATATCCACTCCTACCGGGAACATACCCAGTTAACATCCAGGGTACACCCGTGCTCTACGGAATATCCCCATTAAAACACCACTGCACATCCCATTCGTGCACGCAGTTTAACAAACAGAACAAAAACATAACGAAATCACAATCGAAATGCTTTGTCACTAATAACTGTCCCAGCTTTTGACCTCTGCACAAATTAGTTCTGTTTTTGTAGCCTTTCATTCTTATCTGGGAATATCAGAACTCTTCGTGTGACAAACGATATGCATCTCTATTGATCCTGTTTCAAAAGCTAATAACACTATGATGACGCGAAACAAGGCTGTGCAGTGCCATGTTACGCCCCAGTGGCGACCCGACTACAATAACTACCCACAGCTGCGGCATTCACACCCGGGCGACTCACGACGAAGACACGGGCATGGCGAGGTAAGAAACAGCAACAGCAAACAGATCTGTGAAAATGTATACAACTCAAAATAAGTTAAAGAACACACGATTCTTTCATATTTCTATACTACTTAATCTGTCATTTGATAGTAATGCGAATTAATCGGGTGTTCTTTTACTTATTTTAAGAAGTTCCTCTCAATAACACCCGTCAGTGTTCCTCGAAACTCTGTGGTGTTCCCCTCGTTACCATTTGTCAATGTTCCCCCATACTTTACTTTGTTCCCCTCGTTAACACCTGTCAATGTTCCCCCATACTTTACTTTGTTCTCCTCGTTAACACCTGTCAATGTTCCCCCATACTTTACTGTGTTCCCCTCGTTAACACCTGTCAATGTTCCCCCATACTTTACTGTGTTAGCCTCGTTAACACCCGCCAATGTTCCCCCATACTTTACTTTGTTCTCCTCGTTAACACCTGTCAATGTTCCCCCATACTTTACTGTGTTCCCCTCGGTAACACCTGTCAATGTTCCCCCATACTTTACTGTGTTCCCCTCGGTAACACCTGTCAATGTTCCCCCATACTTTACTGTGTTCCCCTCGTTAACACCTGTCAATGTTCCCCCATACTTTACTGTGTTCGCCTCGTTAACACCTGTCAGTGTTCCCCCATACTTTACTGTGTTAGCCTCGTTAACACCCGCCAATGTTCCCCCATACTTTACTTTGTTCTCCTCGTTAACACCTGTCAATGTTCCCCCATACTTTACTGTGTTCCCCTCGTTAACACCTGCCAATATTCCCCCATGCTTTATGATCTTCCCCTCGATAACACCTGCCAATGTTCCCCCATGCTTTATGATCTTCCCCTCGATTACACCCGCCACTGTTCCCCCATGCTTTACTGTGTTCCCCTCGATAACACCCGCCAATGTTCCCCCATGCTTTACTGTGTTCCCCTCGATAACATCCGCCAATGTTCCCCCATGCTTTATGATCTTCCCCTCGATAACATCCGCCAATTTTCCCCCATCCTTTATGATCTTCCCCTCGATAACAACCGCCAATGTTCCCCCATGCTTTATGATCTTCCCCTCGATAACACCCGCCAATGTTCCCCCATGCTTTACTGTGTTCCCCTCGATAACACCTGCCAATGTTCCCCCATGCTTTATGATCTTCCCCTCGATAACACCCGCCAATGTTCCCCCATGCTTTACTGTGTTCCCCTCGTTAACACCTGCCAATATTCCCGCCTGCTTTATGATCTTCCCCTCGATAACATCCGCCAATGTTCCCCCATGCTTTACTGTGTTCCCCTCGACAACACCTGCCAATGTTCCCACATCCTTTATCATCTTCCCCTCGATAACACCCGCCAATGTTCCCCCATGCTTTATGATCTTCCCCTCGATAACACCTGCCAATGTTCCCCCATGCTTTACTGTCTTCCCCTCGTTAACACCCGCCAATGTTCGACCATCCTTTATGATCTTCCCCTCGATAACACCCGCCGATGTTCCCCCATGCTTTATGATCTTCCCCTCGATAACACCTGCCAATATTCTCCCATGCTTTACTGTTCCCCTCGATAACACCCGCCAATGTTCCCCCATGCTTTATGATATTCCCCTCGTTAACACCCGTCAATGTTCCCCCATGCTTTACTGTGTTTCCCTCGATAACACCCACCGATGTTCCCCCATGCTTTATGATCTTCCCCTCGATAACACCCGCCAATGTTCCCCCATGCTTTACTGTGTTCCCCTCGATAACACCCGCCAATGTTCCCCCATGCTTTACTGTGTTCCCCTCGATAACACCCGCCAATGTTCCCCCATCCTTTATGATCTTCCCCTCGATAACACCTGCCAATGTTCCCCCATGCTTTACTGTCTTCCCCTCGATAACACTCGCCGATGTTCCCCCATGCTTGATGATCTTCCCCTCGATAACACCCGCCAATGTTCCCCCATGCTTTATAATCTTCCCCTCGATAACACCCGCCAATGTTCCCCCATGCTTTACTGTTCCCCTCGATAACACCCGCCAATGTTCCCCTATAGTTTACTGTTCCCCTCGATAACACCCGCCAATGTTTCCCTATGCTTTACTGTGTTCCTCTCGATAACACCCGCCAATGTTCCCCCATGCTTTGCTGTTCCCCTCGATAACACCCGCCAATGTTCCCCAATACTTTACTGTTCCCCTCGATAACACCCGCCAATGTTCCCCTATGCTTTACTGTGTTCCCCTCGATAACACCCGCCAATGTTCCACCATGCTTTATGATCTTCCCCTCGATAACACCCGCCAATGTTCCCCCATGCTTTATGATCTTCCCCTCGATAACACCTGGCAATGTTCCCCCATGCTTTATGATCTTCCCCTCGATAACACCTGGCAATGTTCCCCCATGCTTTATGATCTTCCCCTCGATAACACCCGCCAATGTTCCCCCATGCTTTATGATCTTCCCCTCGATAACACCTGCCAATGTTCCCCTATGCTTTACTGTGTTCCCCTCGATAACACCCGCCAATGTTCCCCCATGCTTTATGATCTTCCCCTCGATAACACCTGCCAATGTTCCCCCATGCTTTACTGTCTTCCCCTCGTTAACACCCGCCAATGTTCGACCATCCTTTATGATCTTCCCCTCGATAACACCCGCCGATGTTCCCCCATGCTTTATGATCTTCCCCTCGATAACACCTGCCAATATTCTCCCATGCTTTACTGTTCCCCTCGATAACACCCGCCAATGTTCCCCCATGCTTTATGATCTTCCCCTCGATAACATCCGCCAATGTTCCCCCATGCTTTATGATCTTCCCCTCGATAACACCCGCCAATGTTCCCCCATGCTTTATGATCTTCCCCTCGATAACACCCGCCAATGTTCCCCCATGCTTTATGATCTTCCCCTCGATAACACCTGCCAATGTTCCCCCATGCTTTATGATCTTCCCCTCGATAACACCTGCCAATGTTCCCCCATACTTTACTGTGTTCCCCTCGATAACACCCGCCAATGTTCCCCCATGCTTTATGATCTTCCCCTCGATAACATCCGCCAATGTTCCCCCATGCTTTATGATCTTCCCCTCGATAACACCCGCCAATGTTCCCCCATGCTATATGATCTTCCCCTCGTTAACACCTGCCAATGTTCCCCCATGTTTTACTGTGTTCCCCTCGATAACACCTGCCAATGTTCCCCCATGCTTTACTGTGTTCCCCTCGATAACACCTGCCAATGTTCCCCCATGCTTTACTGTGTTCCCCTCGATAACATCCGCCAATGTTCCCCCATGCTTTATGATCTTCCCCTCGGTAACACCTGCCAATGTTCCCCCATGCTTTACTGTGTTCCCCTCGATAACACCCGCCAATGTTCCCCCATGCTTTATGATCTTCCCCTCGGTAACACCTGCCAATGTTCCCCCATGCTTTACTGTGTTCCCCTCGATAACACCCGCCAATGTTCCCCCATGCTTTATGATCTTCCCCTCGTTAACACCTGCCAATGTTTCCCCATACTTTACTTTGTTCCCCTCGTTAACACCCGCCAATGTTCCCCCATACTTTACTGTGTTAGCCTCGTTAACACCTGCCAATGTTCCCCCATGCTTTATGATCTTCCCCTCGATAACACCCGCCAATGTTCCCCCATGCTTTATGATCTTCCCCTCGATAACACCTGCCAATGTTCCCCCATGCTTTATGATCTTCCCCTCGATAACACCTGCCAATGTTCCCCCATGCTTTACTGTGTTCCCCTCGATAACACCCGCCAATGTTCCCCCATGCTTTATGATCTTCCCCTCGATAACATCCGCCAATGTTCCCCCATGCTTTATGATCTTCCCCTCGAAAACACCCGCCAATGTTCCCCCATGCTTTATGATCTTCCCCTCGTTAACACCTGCCAATGTTCCCCCATGCTTTACTGTGTTCCCCTCGATAACACCTGCCAATGTTCCCCCATGCTTTACTGTGTTCCCCTCGATAACACCTGCCAATGTTCCCCCATTCTTTACTGTGTTCCCCTCGATAACATCCGCCAATGTTCCCCCATGCTTTATGATCTTCCCCTCGGTAACACCTGCCAATGTTCCCCCATGCTTTACTGTGTTCCCCTCGATAACACCCGCCAATGTTCCCTCATGCTTTATGATCTTCCCCTCGATAACACCTGCCAATGTTCCCCCATGCTTTACTGTGTTCCCCTCGATAACACCCGCCAATGTTCCCCCATGCTTTATGATCTTCCCCTCGTTAACACCTGCCAATGTTTCCCCATACTTTACTTTGTTCCCCTCGTTAACACCTGCCAATGTTCCCCCATACTTTACTGTGTTAGCCTCGTTAACACCTGCCAATGTTCCCCCATACTTTACTGTGTTCCCCTCGTTAACACCTGCCAATGTTTCCCCATACTTTACTGTGTTCCCCTCGATAACACCTGCCAATGTTTCCCCATACTTTACTGTGTTCCCCTCGTTAACACCCGCCAATGTTCCCCCATGCTTTACTGTGTTCCCCTCGATTACATCCGCCACTGTTCCCCCATGCTTTATGATCTTTCCCTCGATAACAGCCGCCAATGTTCCCCCATACTTTACTGTGTTCCCCTCGTTAACACCTGTCAATGTTCCCCCATACTTAACTGTGTTCCCCTCGTTAACACCTGTCAATGTTCCCCCATGCTTTACTATTTCCCTCGATAACACCCGGCAATGTTCCCCCATGCTTTACTGTGTTCCCCTCGTTAACACCTGTCAATGTTCCCCCATACTTTACTGTGTTCCCCTCGTTAACACCTGTCAATGTTCCCCCATACTTTACTGTGTTCCCCTCGATAACACCCGCCAATTTTCCCCCATACTTTACTGTGTTCCCCTCGTTAACACCTTTCAATGTTCCCCCATACTTTACTGTGTTCCCCTCGTTAACACTTGTCAATGTTCCCCCATGCTTTACTATTTCCCTCGATAACACCCGGCAATGTTCCCCCATGCTTTACTGTGTTCCCCTCGACAACACCTGTCAATGTTCCCCCATGCTTTACTGTGTTCCCCTCGGTAACACCTGTCAATGTTCCCCCATACTTACTGTGTTCCCCTCGTTAACACCTGTCAATGTTCCCCCATACTTTACTGTGTTCCCCTCGATAACACCTGTCAATGTTCCCCCATACTTTACTGTGTTCCCCTCGATAACACCTGTCAATGTTCCCCCATACTTTACTGTGTTCCCCTCGATAACACCCGCCAATGTTCCCCCATGCTTTACTGTGTTCCCCTCGATAACACCCGCCAATGTTCCCCCATGCTTTACTGTGTTCCCCTCGATTACACCCGCCACTGTTCCCCCATGCTTTATGATCTTTCCCTCGATAACACCCGCCAATGTTCCCCCATACTTTACTGTGTTCCCCTCGTTAACACCTGTCAATGTTCCCCCATACTTAACTGTGTTCCCCTCGTTAACACCTGTCAATGTTCCCCCATGCTTTATGATCTTCCCCTCGATAACACCTGCCAATGTTCCCCCATGCTTTACTGTGTTCCCCTCGTTAACACCTGTCAATGTTCCCCCATACTTTACTGTGTTCCTCTCGTTAACACCTGTCAATGTTTCCCCATACTTTACTGTGTTCCCCTCGATAACACCCGCCAATTTTCCCCCATACTTTACTGTGTTCCCCTCGTTAACACCTTTCAATGTTCCCCCATACTTTACTGTGTTCCCCTCGTTAACACTTGTCAATGTTCCCCCATGCTTTACTATTTCCCTCGATAACACCCGGCAATGTTCCCCCATGCTTTACTGTGTTCCCCTCGTTAACACCTGTCAATGTTCCCCCATGCTTTACTGTGTTCCCCTCGGTAACACCTGTCAATGTTCCCCCACACTTACTGTGTTCCCCTCGATAACACCTGGCAATGTTCCCCCATACTTTACTGTGTTCCCCTCGATAACACCCGCCAATGTTCCCCCATGCTTTACTGTGTTCCCCTCGATAACACCCGCCAATGTTCCCCCATGCTTTATGATCTTCCCCTCGATAACACCCGCCACAGTTCCCTTATGCTCTATTGTATTCCCCTCGATAGCAGCGGGCAATGTTTTCCCCATGTTCTTAGGTGTTAAGGCGTCGATAAGTATTTATCAACATTGTAAAAGCAAGATAAACAAGGAGGACGTGATTCTCATCTTCCACTACGACTTTAAACAACAAGTCTTCTGTTCTTTTTAGTTTTGATATTTCTTCCTTTTTCAATTATTCAATCCTGCGACGAGCATTGGAAACGTGCTAAGCTTATTCTAAATCAATATATATTCACCTCTGGTAAATAGAATTTTGTACATACATAACTTTAAAACACTTAATAGTCATTAGATTTACTTGTTTTTACATGGTAGATGTTTTTAAAGATCAATTTTGGAGATATATATCTTTCAATCTTTGAGTAAATACTTCTATAAATTCTGCATGGAATTCTACTTTCTATTTTTGCCAAATATAACCGTATCCAACATTCAACAATGATTCGGGGTGGTCGGGTAGCCTAGTGGTTAAAGCGTTCGTTTGTCACGCCGAAGACCCGGGTTCGATTCCCGTCATGGGAACAATGTGTGAAGCCCATTGCTTGTGTCCCCCGCCGTGATATTGCTGGAATATTGCTAAAAGCGGCGTAAAACCATACTAACTCACTCACTCAACAATGATTCTTTTTTTTATGTTCTTTTCCATGGAATCAAATGTTCAGTGTATATTGCCATGGGTTAAGGGACACAAAACTCAGGGATTTCCAGTTTAGATTTATTCATAAAGTAATATTTACTAAACGTGAGTTATTAAGAATGAAACTTATTGATAACGATGAGTGTTCTATGTGTCATACTCACAAAGAAAATATTGTTCATGTTTATATCGAATGTCATGTTGTTAAGAATTTTTGGTCAGATTTCTGTATTTACTTGACTCATATCTTGCATAGAAAAAAAATCCTTATAACTGACAACGAGCTCCTCTTTGGTACCTCTGATGTATTAATTAACCATTTGATTGTAGCTGCTAAAAGATTTATCTTTGTCCAGTGTATTAAGAATGAAAATGTTGACTTTGTTGCTTTTAAGAACACAATAAGAAGTATCTATGACGTTGAATATCATATTGCACGTAGAAATAACGACTTATCTGCCTTTAATAGAAAATGGGCTTTGTTTACTCAAACTGCAAAAAAACTTATTCACTTGATGTTTGCAACATAATTTGATGTAACATAAATACCGCATCTTCTTAATTGTATACATAAATATGCCTTCATCTGTACCATGATGTGGATTATGCCTTCATCTGTACCATGATGTGGATTATGCCTTAGGCTTCCTCTGTACCATATCCTTTTGAGAAGTACCTGTATTCATAAAGCTGTATTGCTTTCCGAGTGCATATGCATCCTGTGTATATGACTGAATAAAAATGTATAAAAAAAACCAAAACAATGATTCTTTTACACTTGTTGCCCAGTGTCTTTGTCAGTTTTGATCTTGTAGTAACAAGTTATTATAATATTTCATAGGTACCCCATAGAATGGCATATTTATTAACCTGAACTAAAATTTAATAACTTAATATATGGAGAAGTGTGTGAAGGATATCGGCCGCCATATACCTGAATGTTGGGTGTATTTGTTTTTTTCCACCAAGGAATTTCACTCGTTGGAAAGCGGTTTTATAAAATCATTTTAAAAGATATTTAAATATTTTTTTATTTAAATGTTTTAGACCGCCAAACTTACAATTTTGGCAAAATATATCAAGTGTTGTTGGAAGTGAAATCTCTTTATCTGTTTTAGACTGATCCTGGCTGTAATCCTGGTGCAAGCCATTGCTGCCTACCGCATGTACCAGGATCGAATCCCTAATGGTGACACTGTACCACACCCATGTAAACCCAACTATCTATGGAGAGGGGTTGGACACAAAACTCCACTCGGCGGAGGATTACGGAATACGTTTGGAGAAGATTATGGAAAAATTAAACAGGTTGGAACGATTGTATATTCTATAGGAACCAATGTAAGTCACTTCGATGGGCTGAAATTTGAAATCATGATAAATCAAATACAACATTAAACTCATAATTTGTAAAATCATCATCGACAACGTTTTAAACAAAAGCAAATAGTTATGTATGTACTGGCACAATGTTACTCTCTGAACACAGCCAAACCTCATTAATCTGGACCGTGTTTATCCAGACCTCCATATCCGAACATTCATGTCACTGACGGAACTTTTTCATACGTAAAGTGATCTTGTGGATAGAGCGTCTGTCCAGAGAGTCAAAGGTCCGGGGTTCGATACCCGGCCCGTCATACCAGTCTATCGCTCGGCATTAGTGGGTAAAACAAGGACTGGTCGGCTCGGAGTCATAATGTGTCTGAGTGGGGTATCCTTGTTAAATGTAGCATGATATCTCAGCGAGCTGGCACCACGCACATCACGTCGCTATATTAATGCAATTATCTAGAACGCGACATTAAACCCGGTACCATTCTCATTACCATGGTTACACGTGGAGTGAGTGAGTGAGTGGGATTTTACGCCGCTTTGGACATTGTACCAGTTATATCAATGTGTCCTCTTGATGTGTGAGGAAAGCCCGAAGTGATGCAGGTTTCAGACGTTGGTGAAACCGACGAACATGGGTTTGATTATGACACATCTAGAAACATAATCGGTGCGAACCGGGATTCGAACCCACAATCATAGGTTTCTGGCGGGCCCAAGAGACGCATCTTTACAAAGCGAATCGCGGCGCCTTTGACGACTGGGTCGCCGTGATCCACACATAATGAGGTGGCCTTAATATCATCATTTGTATGCAAAAATACGCACGTACTGTTATCTGCAGTGGACGCCCGAACTTTGCCGAATGGACTCGGACAATGACGGACTCACCAATGGCCAGGAGTTGGGAGATCCGGATTGTGTATGGGTTCCAGGGACCTTTCCGTCCCGGAGTAAGAACATCACACACCCAGGTGAGTGGGAAAGCCCCAGACATGTTAGAGATCAGTGCGGACTTAAACCATTCAGGTCTTATTTGTTCTTGGTTAAATATTGGTCTGGGCCCTGTCTACCTAAACGTGTAGACAGGTGGTGACCAATTCTCGGAAGCTCCGATCTGACTATACTAAACATTGCATAGCAACGCTATTTGTTTTCATTCGATACCGAGGTCCAATAAATGTGAAGTTTAGTGTCGTCCAATCGCAGCCAACGTGAAATTGGCAACAGCTCATTTTGTTATAAAGCAATCTCATTAAAATCAGGACTTAGTTCTCGCTACTGCTAAACAAAGATCTGAGGACATCCCTTTCATCCGACCAATCATAGCGTCTCTTACCAGATCACGAAAGTGAAAGTCGGAATGTGATTTCTAATCATGCATCCTCGAAAACGGGGTATTCCGAAAGATAGTTACAGGCTTAACGACTGAATCTATACAATCTTGACCATATATTAGCCATTCAAGAGTGTTCTTTTGTTCAGGTTTCAAATTTTTAAGCGAGAATTTGTCAAAATATGTTTCGAAGCGTAGTCGCCAATTTGAAATTAGTGATGTAATGCACGAGAAAGCGGCCTTCAGATTGGCTAATGTCGACTTCTTGTCAGTAATTCCATTGGTCGGTCAGAGTTCGCGAAAGGTCGGTCTGACGTGACCCGTAATGGGATGTCCTCAGATCTTTGTTTAGCGGCAGCGAGAACTAAGATCTGATTTAAATGAGATTGGTTATAGAGGAGCTAAATTCGCTTAGCTTGCGGCACAAACCACCAGCGCTGAATAGAAAATAGAAAATTTTGACCGACCAATGAAATGACTGACAAGAAATCGACATTAGCCAATACGGTACTCGTTTCAAACTGGCGACTTACATTCCACACTGCGCTTTGAAAATAGTTTGACATAGTTCTCGATTCAAAATTTGAATACTGAACAAAAGAACATTCTGGAATGTCTACTAGATGGCCGTGATTTTATGGCAGTACTTCCCACGGGCTATGGAAAGTCTCTTCCATTCAAATGTTTATCCCATTTAAGTGACAGACAGACGATGATTTTGACAGATTCAGTCGTACAGCTCGTAACTGTCGTTCGGAATAGCCTTTTCGAGGTTGCATGATTAGAAAACACATTCCGACTGTCACTTTGCTGACCTGGTAAGCGACGCCCTGATTGGTCGGATGAAAGTCGTTCTGACGTCACCCGTAAAGGTATATTCTCAGATATGTTTAGCGGTAGCGAGAACTAAGATCTGATTTAATGAGGCTGAGCTACGTGGGAACTGTTAGTCTTGTCTTATACGGAAACCAGTCAATACGAACCAATAATTGTGATCAAAACTCCTCATTTTCCAATATGGACGAGAGTGGTCAAAACAGATCACATCTTCACAGATCAGATGAAGTCACACACACAAAATATTTATTTATTGGATTTTGAAACATTAAGATGAAACATTATGTGAACGACTGAAATTGTGGTACATCGCATGAAGTAATCTTCCCGAGGCAAGGCGTTATTTGACTATAAAAGTCCAGTTTTTACCCTTGCCGAACTTGGCTGGAACTTCCAGGCTAGATTGTAGCGCCATCAGTGGCTATTGCGAGTGATGTCCCTTCTATGTCTCACCCATTGACCAATCAGATTCCACCTCTCATATCACTTGCATTTGCTTCAAACAATATGACGGGGGCCAGTCAAAACGATCAGCTCGATAATAAAGATCTATATTGAAATAAAACGGGCATTACATCGCGAAGTGTATCAAATCACGTGAACACCTTAATTGAAAACATGAAAATATTTGCAAAATATCTGTCGACGCCCAGTTGGCGGTACACATGCTTTGAAAATCCTTCAGTCGACCCATGTTGTTTACGAACCGGATGTCTATAGTTTGTTACGCGATTTTGATTGGACCATCCATAGACTCGTTAGTCCAGCCAAAATGTAACTCCAGAAAGGGAGTAGTTCGGCAAGGGTGGAAACTAGACTTTAATAGTCAGTTAACGCCCTTGTCTCGGGAAGATGTATTTAGTCGATTTTGGAATACCCTTTTCATCGCTCTGTTGCAACTGATGATGCTTATTATGCCTATCCAGGTGTGTGTGACCCATGGGGCAGCTCCAAGTGCGAGGATGCTAACAGTCACATCAGCTGTGACACCGGGGAGTTTTTATGTGATGCCATCAACAGCCCAGGTATTGTTTGTTTGTTGTTTAGCGCCAAGGTCTGTAAATAATCGAGTCTGAACCAGACAATCCAGGGATTGACGTTATGAGCATCGATCTACGCATCTGGAATGCATGCATCAACCAAGTCAGCGAGCCTGACCACCCGATCCCATGAGTCGCCTCTTACAACAAGCTTGGGTTGCTGAAGACCAGTTCTAACATGGACCTTCGCGGGTCCAGAAGGTGTAGTGCACAGAATCCGGGTTAGAATTGATCCCCGGCAACCCTTCCTGAGGCGACTTAGTTAGATTTTACCCCATGGCGCATCGTTGCTCATAATTTCAATCACTGGTTTGTCTGGTCCATAGGTGATTATGTAAAGGCAACTATTATATAGCTGGAAATATATGGTTTAGAAGGATTTGTGTTTACATACTCAATGTAATTAATGTGTTCAAGTCCATTACAAAGACTCTATAATCTGTGTGACATTTAGTGTTTTAATTGAAAATTGGATAACCTGCTACATGTATATACTTTTAAGTTTAAAATGCTCTACCCGTGTTTGCTGAGGTTAACATTTGACTTGCCTTTGCATGTATTTATGACAGGTGTGGGATAGCATACGGTCAACTTATCGCGAACACTTGGTATCATTGCTATTTGATTGTAATCATAAACATATGATATTGTCGGAATCGCACAAAGGGCTCTGCTTTCAGCAGACATTATTTTTAGTATTTTTTCCCGCTTTTATTGTGCAAGTGAAAAACCTCCTTAATGTGTTGTATTTATAGATGTGATCAACATAACGCTGAGGTTCCCCCCGACTCAGGTCCCCCCGGAGGTCACCACGTACATGTGCTACACCTTTGACCTGGACATGCTGCCAGCTGGCGTGGAATACCATCTGATAGCCACCAAGCCGTACATTGACAACGCTGATATCATGCATCACACCGTGCTGAGCGGCTGTGATTTTACGAGTGAGTTATCATCAACGTGTGATTTTACTTGCACATGATCTAATGATGACTGCTGATAAACAAACCTCAGTGGACAGACAGACAGACAGACTGGTTTAAATCATTGCATGTCTGGAGGAGCGGGTTCGTGGTATATCTGCAGGGAGAACTAGGTCTTTATTAGGTTATCATAATCACGGACATGCACGCAGTATGCAACATTTGATCAACGTGAGGTGTTGAAAAGTCGTGAGTGGATCCTGGAAATCTGTCGGACTTTTCACCGCGTATGAATATTGTTCTTGCTTACAATTGGTTATTCGACTCGACAAAATAGATATGACATTAATTCAATTTTAAATTAGATCATTATTAAAAATTCAAAGCATCATATATTCGATATCAACCCCGTCTGAAAATCTAATGTATGGCTTCAAATATTTCCCATAGGGGACGCACATTTAATATTCCTGAGGAGAGGAAGGTGGGGAGATTACGTAGTCTTGTCTGACAGAGCTTCAAAACAACACATCATTTTCACACCATTCAGCATGTCCTGTAAGCGATTTTCTATCTAAAAACCTGGGAAATATAATCGTTTCCCGCCATTTTCGGGAACAAATTTTACGTCTAAAAGACATCTTTAGGAAGATGACCAGTGTCATATCTGGTATGCTTGTAAGGGATGACCAATACCACATCTAGTACATGGGAAGATAGCAATACCACATCTAGTACTTGGGTAGATAGCAATACTACATCTAGTACTTGGGTAGATAGCAATACAACATCTAGTACTTGGGTAGATAGCAATACTACATCTAGTACTTGGGTAGATAGCAATACTACATCTAGTACTTGGGTAGATAGCAATACTACATCTAGTACTTGGGTAGATAGCAATACTACATCTAGAACTTGGGTAGATAGCAATACTACATCTAGTAATTGGGTAGATAGCAATACTACATCTAGTACATGGGTAGATAGCAATACCACATCTAGTACTTGGGTAGATAGCAATACCACATCCAGTATTTGGGTAGATAGCAATACCAAATCCCGTACATGGGTAGATAGCAATACCGCATCCATTACCTGGGTAGATAGCAATACCACATCTAGTACTGGGTAGATAGCAATAATACATCTAGTACTTGGGTAGATAGCAATACCACATCCCGTACTTGGGTAGATAGCAATACCACATCTAGTACTTGGGTACATAGCAATACTACATCTAGTACTTGGGTAGATAGCAATACCACATCCCGTACTTGGGTAGATAGCAATACCACATGTAGTACTTGGGTAGATAGCAATACCACATCTAGTACTTGGGTAGACAGCAATACCACATCTAGTACATGGGTAGATAGCAATACCACATCCAGTACTTGGGTAGATAGCAACACCACATCCAGTAATGGGTAGATAGCAATACCACATTTAGTACTGGGTAGATAGTAATACCACATTTAGTACTGGGTAGATAGCAATACTACATCTAGTACATGGGTAGATAGCAATACTACATCTAGTACTTGGGTAGATAGCAATACTACATCTAGTACTTGGGTAGATAGCAATACTACATCTAGTACTTGGGTAGATAGCAATACCACATCCAGTATTTGGGTAGATAGCAATACCACATCCCGTACATGGGTAGATAGCAATACCGCATCCATTACCTGGGTAGATGGCAGTACCACATCTAGTACTGGGTAGATAGCAATACTACATCTAGTACTTGGGTAGATAGCAATACCACATCCCGTACTTGGGTAGATAGCAATACCACATCTAGTACTTGGGTAGATAGCAATACCACATCTAGTACTTGGGTAGATAGCAATACCACATCCCGTACTTGGGTAGATAGCAATACTACATCTAGTACTTGGGTAGATAGCAATACTATATCTAGTACTTGGGTAGATAGCAATACTACATCTAGTACTTTGGTAGATAGCAATACCACATCCCGTACTTGGGTAGATAGCAATACCACATCTAGTACTTGGGTACATAGCAATACTACATCTAGTACTTGGGTAGATAGCAATACTACATCTAGTACTTGGGTAGATTGCAATACCACATCTAGTACTTGGGTAGATAGCAATACCACATCTAGTACTTGGGTAGATAGCAATACCACATCTAGTACTTGGGTAGATAGCAATACCACGTCTAGTACATGGGTAGATAGCAATACTACATCTAGTACTTGGGTAGATAGCAATACCACATCCCGTACTTTGGTAGATAGCAATACCACATCCCGTACTTGGGTAGATAGCAATACTACATCTAGTACTTGGGTAGATAGCAATCCTATATCTAGTACTTGGGTAGATAGCAATACTACATCTAGTACTTTGGTAGATAGCAATACCACATCTAGTACTTGGGTAGATAGCAATACCACATCTAGTACTTGGGTACATAGCAATACTACATCTAGTACTTGGGTAGATAGCAATACTACATCTAGTACTTGGGTAGATAGCAATACCACATCTAGTACTTGGGTAGATAGCAATACCACATCTAGTACTTGGGTAGATAGCAATACCACATCTAGTACTTGGGTAGATAGCAATACCACATCCAGTATTTGGGTAGATAGCAATACCACATCCCGTACATGGGTAGATAGCAATACCGCATCCATTACCTGGGTAGATGGCAGTACCACATCTAGTACTGGGTAGATAGCAATACTACATCTAGTACTTGGGTAGATAGCAATACCACATCTAGTACTTGGGTAGATAGCAATACCACATCTAGTACTTGGGTAGATAGCAATACCACATCTAGTACTTGGGTAGATAGCAATACCACATCCCGTACTTTGGTAGATAGCAATACCACATCCCGTACTTGGGTAGATAGCAATACTACATCTAGTACTTGGGTAGATAGCAATACTATATCTAGTACTTGGGTAGATAGCAATACCACATCTAGTACTTTGGTAGATAGCAATACCACATCTAGTACTTGGGTAGATAGCAATACCACATCTAGTACTTGGGTACATAGCAATACTACATCTAGTACTTGGGTAGATAGCAATACTACATCTAGTACTTGGGTAGATAGCAATACCACATCTTGTACTTGGGTAGATAGCAATACCACATCTAGTACTTGGGTAGAGAGCAATACCACATCTAGTACTTGGGTAGATAGCAACACCACATCCAGTAATGGGTAGATAGCAATACCACATTTAGTACTGGGTAGATAGTAATACCACATTTAGTACTGGGTAGATAGCAATACCACATCCAGTATCGGGTAGATAGCAATACCACATCCAATACTTGGGAAAATAGCAATATCCCATTTAATACTTGGGTAGATAGCAACACCACATCTTCTAGTAGGGTAGATTCCAGACAGACAGACAGACAGACAGACAGGTTTAAAATCATTGTATGTCTGGAGGTGCGGCTTTGTGGTATCGTCCTCGTGGAGAACTTTTTTAGGTTATCATAATATGTGCTTCAGAAAATCACGTACAGCAGTATGCAATACTTGATTAAATTGATATGAGCAAATGACGTTCACTTCTGTTGACACCTATGCTAAGTTGTATAATGAATGGGTATATGTTCTACAATCTGATTGGTTGAAGAACATTTTTCAATGGGAGTGGATCCCAGGAACATTTCGGTCTTTTCACCGCGAATGAATATTTTTCTTGCTAATATTATTTCCTAATCATAAATTTGAAAACAATTGGTTATTCGGTTTGTCAAAATGAATACCACATTAATAAATTATTAAATTAGATCACTATATTTACAAGAACAACTTTGTATTTTATTTTTAACCAAGAGAGTTCAGTTTTCGCGGAAGCGCATTGTGTCATGACGTCATATTATTCGAAAGCGACGTCACGTGAGCACCTCACCTATGACAGTTCACGTACGGAGGGTGCAAACATCGCCAGATCCAAATTAAAATTCAGGGCATCGTATATCCGATGTCAACCACCAATCTGAAAATATTATGTATGGTTTCAAATACCTATCTCAGGCTCCCACCTGGACAGTCCACAGAGATGCAACATGGGGTCTTCAGGCTGCCGGAGCCCGCTGTCTATTTGGACGTTGGGGTTACCGGGGTCGTGTGTCTACAAAGATGCCGGCTTCAAAATCGGACGCAATGGATACAAACGACTGAATATGCTGGTAGGCCTCGAGTGAATCAGTGGGGCGGCTTGTGAGTAGTCGTCGATACGTTAATCATGAACTCTCGAATAGCTTGGAGGAGATAAACCAATAGTTTGTTTCAACGGCACAGATAATTCTAATACAGGAAACTACGGTTATAACGAACTCAAAGGTACTTCTAATTTTAGTTCGTTATAACCGTAGTTCGTTATAATTATATGTACAGCATAACTACAGCAAATAGTCGGGACCAAAAAGTAAGTTCGTTATATCCGTCAGTTCGTTATAAGCGTGTTCGTTATAACCGTAGTTGACTGTAGAGTGTTTGAGTGAGTGGTGAAATACCGGGCTGCGTCGTTGATATCATCTGTGTGAAGTTTAAGGTAAGACATTTTGGCAAGAAGGAGGCATCCCCATGCGTGGACCTTAATCGTGCTCCATTCCATGCTGAACTGTTTCGTTATGTATTTATGAATCAGAATTTCTGCTCGGACTAGCAAAATGGAAACAAGGAAATTTGACCAAGAAGTTTAACTTAAGGTGACCTGAAAAAAAATTACCAGTGAAACCCCTCATTCATTTCATATTTATATATATGATAAAAAATCAGAGCGACAAAAGTACTCATGTTGTAAATCGAACCTTGGCCTTTGACGTGACGAGCGAACGCTTTAACCACGCCGCCGTTTTTGTATGGCCCATCCAGATACATTTTTATTGACGTTACAATGTCGATGTATTGAGGTCATGTAAAATGTTCTGCATTGCAGCATCACTGGAACAACCCGGAGAAGAAGACAACCTACACTGATTCCTCGGGTATCACTCTGTACCTGACTCCCAAACTGAGGAAATACAACGCTGCATACATGACGGTGGGGGAAACGCTTTTAAACATCCCCCCTGGCCGGGAGCGCGTGGTGCACACGAGTCAGTGTTCCTCTGAGTGTACCAGGGACGTCATGAAGGGGCCTATCCATCTGTTGGCCGGATACAATCACATGCACTATTTGGGTGAGACAAGAAAGTCAGTTGGTGGAATCCGCGTTGAACATATTTCACTTAGGGGATGATCGTTTATTACTTTTTATGATTGTAAGGAATAACCAATACCATAGCTAGTTCTTGGATAGATAGCCATACCGTATTTAGTACTTTGGTAGATAGCCATACCACATCAATATCTTGGGTAGGTAACCATATCGTATCTAGTACTTGGCTAGATAACCATACCGTATCTAGTAAATTGCTAGATAACCATACCGTATCTAGTACTTGGGTAGGTAACCATGCAGTATCTCGTACTTGGCTAGATAACCATACCGTATCTAGTACTTTGCTAGATAGCCATACCGTATCTAGTACTTTGGTAGATAGCCATACCACATCTAGTTCTTGGGTAGGTAACCATGCAGTATCTAGTACTTGGCTAGATAACAATATTATGTATCTATTACTCGGGTATCTATACCGTATCTAGTACTTGGGTAGGTAACCATGCAGTATCTAGTACTTGGGTAGATAACCATACCGTATCTAGTACTTGGGTAGATAACCATACCGTATCTGGTACTTGGCTAGATAACAATATTATGTATCTATTACTCGGGTAGGTAACCATACCGTATCTAGTACTTGGGTAGATAACCATACCGTATCTAGTACTTGGGTAGATAACAATACCGTATCTGGTACTTGGGTAGATAACAATATTATGTATCTATTACTCGGGTAGGTAACCATGCAGTATCTAGTACTCGGGTAGGTAACCATACCGTATCTAGTACTCGGGTAGATAACCATACCGTATCTAGTACTTGGGTAGATAACCATACCGTATCTGGTACTTGGGTAGATAACAATATTATGTATCTATTACTGGGGTAGGTAACCATGCAGTATCTAGTACTCGGGTAGGCTACCATACCGTATCTAGTACTTGGGTAGATAACCATACCGTATCTAGTACTTGGCTAGATAACCATACCACATCTAGTAATTGTGTAGATAACAATACGCATTTAGTACTTGGGTAGGTAACAATGCCGTATCTAGTACTTGGCTAGATAACAATATTATGTATCTAGAACATTGCTAGATAACCATACCGTATCTAGTACTTGGCTAGATAACCATACCGTAACTAGTACTTATAGTATGGCTTTTATCCCAGTGATGACATCATTGTAACGTCGAGACACACTGTATATTTATCATTGTCCAGGGTACCAGCAGACTGTTGAACACTACCGGAATGGTGAGAAGTTGCGCGACCTGACGCCGGACGACCATTACTCATATGACAACCCTATCATTCACAAGTAAGACGTATGGTGATGGTGCGAACATAATAGGTCTTCAGCAACCCATGCTTGCCGTAAAAGGCGACTATGCTTGTCGTAAGAGGCGACTAACAGGATCGGGTGGCCAGGCTCGCTAACTTGGTTGATGCATGTCATCGATTCCAATTGCGTAGATCGATGCTCATGATATCAATTACTGGATTGTCCGGTCCAGACTCGATTATTTACAGACCGCCGTCATATAGCTGGAATATTGCTGAGTGCGGCATTAAACAAACCAACAAACCAACCGTGTCAGAGTGACTATTTTCAGCCTAGTAACGTTTTGATTTTTTTTTTTATCAAATCCAATTTTCAAGAGTTCACTTCGGCAGTTACATGTACTTCACTGACGACGACGTAAAACATTCTTCACTCCTTCATCCGCTCACTCACTCACCATCAGGTACGACCCTCAGATTGAAATGCTCCCGGGGGACAGTCTGAAGACCACCTGTGTGCATAGGTCCACCTCCAGGGCCACGACGACAGTGTGGGGTGATGGCACAAACGACGAGATGTGCTTCGGCTTCTTCACATTCTACCCTGCGGAGAACATGCCCTTCGTCTGTGTCACCTACGGGGATCTGGAACTCTGCAGCCTCAACAGGGGACAACTACATGGCTGCAACATCCCAATGATGCTGAACTCATCTCATCCTGTGCGCAAGGGTTTGATGTCAAAGGTAAACATTTCGGTTTAATTGGATTTCGGTGTCGAACCCACCGAGGGTTAAAAGCAGTCCATGCTGGGCGCAAGAGGGGACTTAATGGATCGGGTGCTCATTATATCAATCACTGTATTGTCTCGTCCCGACTCAATTATTTACATATCGTGTTATATAGTGCGGTGTTAAAAATACATTAACAAACCCTGATGGTGGCAGAAGAGGGATAGGTGTGACGCTTGTTCCTCAACGGCATTGAAAGATTACTTGATAATGCAACTCAGATGTTTTCTATTAATTATTTTTTATGGATACCAGTTTTATATTGGTTATTACCAGTTCAGATGTATTTACTATAACAAGTTAATTCTTCATTTATTTTATATGTATGCAAAAGACATATCATTGCCCCGGCAACGTTGCTCATGCTTTCAATCACAGGTTTCACTGATCCAGACGCCATTATTTACAGATCGCCGTGATATTGCTAGAATGTTGCTGAAAAGGGCGTTCAACAAAATTCACTCACTCATCCCAATCATGGGTTTTTATTCAAGCGTGACTACCTTTTGTTGTAGGTGTTGGACAACTGTAGCCCCTTGGGAGACTGCCGGGTTGAATGTCCCGCTGCTTTGGCCGAGGTACAACAACATCCATGCTTGAACGATAGATTGGGCAGCTTCGTACTGTCGAGGATGGCTGGCATCCCGTCTCTGGAGAACGCGAAGTTCTTGGCAGCAATGCGGTCCTGCCAGTGTTCAGCCGTGGATCCCACATCCAAGCCAGTGTCTCCAGTCAATGATGGGGAGACTATTTCATCAAGTGGACTTTTGTTTCTCATCGCTTCTCTTGTCGTCTTGGGCATGTGAACATACTTTCCATTGATTCACTGTCTTGCACAGCACCATTGATGAAATGCCACTCTTATCTCCATTATAAATCCTACATCTGTACCGGCGCTCTTATCTCCATTATGAATCCTACATCTGTACCGGCGCTCTTATCTCCATTATAAATCCTACATCTGTACCGGCGCTCTTATCTCCAATATAAATTCTACATCTGTACTGGCGCTCTTGTTTCCAGTATAAATCCTACGTTTGTACCGAAAGCTACTTTACTGTTAAAAGTAGGCCTGTATTTCGAGTCACATTAAACCTTCAAAAAGAACAAGCAGGAATGGCTATTAAAGACAGGATATGCAAAATGTGTAAATTTCAATAAAGATGTATCGGATATGAGTCATATTGCCTTCTCTTTTGCTAAAAATAAATAAATAAATATTGAATAAATAAATAAAATGAGCAGTACTTCTTTGTAAATCCCAGCATTTCATACTAATATCTTAAAACAGGCCCTTGCTGAAGGCCCTTAAGACGTGTTCTCCTGTTTACAATGACAGGACTTACTGAAGTGTTCTCCTGTTTACACTGACATGCCCTTACTGAGGTGTTCTCCTGTTTACACTGACAGGTCCTTACTGAAGTGTTCTCCTGTTTACACTGACAGGCCCTTACTGAAGTGTTCTCCTGTTTACACTGACAGGCCCTTGCTGAGGTGTTCTCCTGTTTACACTGACAGGTCCTTACTGAAGTGTTCTCCTGTTTACACTGACAGGCCCTTACTGGGGTGTTCTCCTGTTTACACTGACAGGCCCTTACTGAGGTGTTCTCATGTTTACAGTGACAGACCCTTACTGAAGTGTTCTTCTGTTTACACTGACAGGCCCTTACTGAAGTGTTCTCCTGTTTACACTTACAGGCCCTTACTGAAGTGTTCTCCTGTTTACACTGACAGGCCCTTACTGAAGTGTTCTCCTGTTTACACTGACAGACCATTACTGAAGTGTTCTCCTGTTTACACTGACAGACCCTTACTGAAGTGTTCTCCTGTTTACACTGACAAACCCTTACTGAGGTGTTCACCTGTTTACACTGACAGGCCCTTACTGTAATGTGCTCCAGTTTACACTGACAGGCCCTTACTGAAGTGTTCTCCTGTTTACAATGACAGGACTTACTGAAGTGTTCTCCTGTTTACACTGACAGGTCCTTACTGGGGTGTTCTCCTGTTTACACTGACAGGTCCTTACTGAAGCGTTCTCCTGTTTGCACTGACAGCCCCTTACTGAAGTGTTCTCCTGTTTACACTGACAGGCCCTTACTGAAGTGTTCTCCTGTTTACACTGACATGTCCTTACTGAAGTGTTCTCCTGTTTACACTGACAGGTCCTTACTGAAGTGTTCTCCTGTTTACACTGACAGGTCCTTACTGAAGTGTTCTCCTGTTTACACTGACAGGTCCTTACTGAGGTGTTCCCCTGTTTACACTGACAGGTCCTTACTGAAGCGCTCTCCTGTTTACACTGACAGGTCCTTACTGAAGTGTTCTCCTGTTTACACTGACAGGCCCTTACTGAAGTGTTCTCCTGTTTACACTGACAGGCCCTTACTGAAGCGCTCTCCTGTTTACACTGACAGGTCCTTACTGAAGTGTTCTCCTGTTTACACTGACAGGCCCTTACTGAAGTGTTCTCCTGTTTACACTGACAGACCATTACTGAGGTGTTCTCCTGATTACACTGACAGGTCCTTACTGAGTGTTCTCCTGTTTACACTGACAGGTCCTTACTGAAGTGTTCTCCTGTTTACACTGACAGGCCCTTACTGAAGTGTTCTCCTGTTTACACTGACAGGCCCTTACTGAAGCGCTCTCCTGTTTACACTGACAGGTCCTTACTGAAGTGTTCTCCTGTTTACACTGACAGACCCTTACTGAAGTGTTCTCCTGTTTACACTGACAGACCCTTACTGAAGTGTTCTCCTGTTTACACTGACAGGCCCTTACTGAAGCGCTCTCCTGTTTACACTGACAGGTCCTTACTGAAGTGTTCTCCTGTTTACACTGACAGACCCTTACTGAAGTGTTCTCCTGTTTACACTGACAGACCATTACTGAAGCGCTCTCCTGTTTACACTGACAGGTCCTTACTGAAGTGTTCTCCTGTTTACACTGACAGGCCCTTACTGAAGTGTTCTCCTGTTTACACTGACAGACCATTACTGAGGTGTTCTCCTGATTACACTGACAGGTCCTTACTGAGTGTTCTCCTGTTTACACTGACAGGTCCTTACTGAAGTGTTCTCCTGTTTACACTGACAGGCCCTTACTGAAGTGTTCTCCTGTTTACACTGACAGGCCCTTACTGAAGCGCTCTCCTGTTTACACTGACAGGTCCTTACTGAAGTGTTCTCCTGTTTACACTGACAGACCCTTACTGAAGTGTTCTCCTTTTTACACTGACAGACCCTTACTGAAGTGTTCTCCTGTTTACACTGACAGACCATTACTGAGGTGTTCTCCTGATTACACTGACAGGTCCTTACTGAGTGTTCTCCTGTTTACACTGACAGGCCCTTACTGAAGTGTTCTCCTGTTTACACTGACAGACCATTACTGGGGTGTTCTACTGTTTACACTGACAGGCCCTTACTGAAGTGTTTTCCTGTTTACACTGACATGATTTAACTTTTCTGACCCCTAGATCCCTCATCAATATTAATGAAGACAACACGAATAATAGTTTGATATCGGTCACTTTATTGTAAATAAAAGTAAAAAGACCATTCCATGGAAGCAAAATCAATTCATTATTACTGTTCCACAAGCATGTATTTATGAATCACTATAACATAGTGTTCGCGAAAATGTGGACGTAACCTGCCCTACTGGTTGCAAACAATTAATAACCAAACACAAAGAACGGAACTGAAGACGACAATTGTCACAATCAATCACTAGATTGTCCGTTCCTGGCTCCATTAATTACAGATCGCCGGATCCAGAGCTGGATTATTGTTGAGTACGGCGTTAAACAACAAACAAACAAACACAACGGATGGACGCCGGTATGAATATCACGACATTAAGCCAGGACTAGATAGTGAGGTGAAATGGGGTTTAACGTCGCGTCCAAGATTATTGCACTTATATAGTGACGTGCATGTACGTGTGTGTGTTTGTGTGGCTGCTTGTACAAGTCGATGCCGATTTAAAGTGCTAGCTCACTGAGATACCATGCCGCAGTTTAACATGAATATCCCACTAAGACACAGTATACTGACTCCGAGCCGACCAGTCCTTGTTTTAGCCCCTTAATGCCGAGTGCCAGACAGGGTAACAACAAGTACCATCTTTTAACGTCTTTTGGTATGACGCGGCCGGGGATCGAACCCCGGACCTCCCGCTCTCCGGGCGGACGCTCTACCACTAGACCACGGAGGCGGTCTCCAGGACTAGATAAAATAGTTCAGCAACACGTGTATCGTTTACAGAGAATTCGTCCACACCGAACATGGAAGTCACCCTCCCATCCAGCTGATGCTGAACCCTTCATCTACATTTACACCAGGATCAGGATTGCGGGAGGGTAGTGTTTTGTCACGTGATATTGTGAGCTTCTAATATTCCCCAGTGCAGGCCGAGGTGACCACAACCGGTTAGATTACGTCAAACCACACGTGTGACTGAGATCCTGTCTGCTTAAACTCATCATCCCGAGGCAAGTGAGTTAACTGACTATAAAAGTCCAGTTTCCACCCTTGCCGAACTAGGCTAGTATTATGGAGTTACATTTTGGCTGGACTAACGAGTCTATGCATAGTCCAATCAAAATCGCGCGCCGAAATCGAAATCCGGTTCGTAAAGTGTCATGCAGATTTCGGTCGACTGCAGGATTTGCAAAGCATGTGCACCGCTAACTCGTTGTCAACAGATATTTTCTATATCTTTTCATGTTTTTAATCAAGGTGCTCACGTGATTTGATGCACTTCGCGATGTAAGACTCGTTTGATCACAATATAGATCTTGATTATCGATCAGATCGTCTTGACTGGGCGCCACCGTTTTGTTTGAAACAAATGCAAGTGATACGAGAGGTTGAATCTGATTGGTCAATAGGAGAGGCATAGAAAGGACATTACTCGTAATAGCCACTGGTGGCGCTACGATCGAGCCCAGGAATTCCAGCCTAGTTCGGCAAGGGTGGAAACGGGTGGACTTTTAAAGTCCGTTAACTCTCTTGCCTCGGGAAGATGGCTTAAACTAGACAACATGGGATGTCCCATTTCTTGGAGTCAGCGATTGCACGACACGAAGCATAGCATTCGTTGATTCGCAATGAAATGAAAACATACACTGAAGTTTGTCAACTAAACTTGCACTTTTTGAATACATGTCTCATCTAGGAACGCTACGCGTGCGCACCTATAACCAGATTTGGTACAAATTTGTGCTAAGCAAAAGGTATGGTATAGATATTCATCACAGTTTCATTACTGACGCCTGTTGTGCGCGGAAACCAACAAGGGAATTAGTTTTACCAGACACATGGGCCTCATCGGGGTTAGTGCAATTCGGCATTAGCTGCAGAAACACACGTATAATAATTAACACGCATTATTTGGGAGAGGAAGCACTCGATAATAATCGAGCCTGGACCAGACAATCCAGTGATTGACATATATCCCACGCAATTGGGATCGATGACAGTCTTCAAATCAAGTCAGCGAACCTGACCACCCGATCCCGTTAGTCGCCTCATATGACAAGCATAGTTGAACCCCCCATCCCCAACCCCACCCCCCACCCCCCACCCCCCAAGGAATTGGGGCAAATTTGTGCGGCAACAATCAATAATACTGATGAAACGTTTGCGATATTGACATTTTCCTAATATCATTTCATACATGCGATAACTGTAGGTTCATACATTGAGTTGATGCATAGTGAAAATGTTCCGAGTTTTAAAGCGCAAGTCGGTTTGAGCTTCACTCATTCCAGGGCGACACTTCCCAAACACAATGCGCCGCAGTAACAGAATAACACAAGCAAGGTCACTCCTACAATGCACCATTCTGTGATAATTATACCGTAAGCAAAAGACAGTAGGGCTTGATCACAGATGGGACACAGATTTGCTGGCGTTGACGTGGATGTGACATTGAAGCCAGGGAAGGCTGTTGGCGTCGTCGTTTGAAGAGTCGATTGGCAGGATTGTATCTCATTTGAAGTGCGAATGACAAACACGGTTCCTGCATAAGAAATTAAAACATTACATGGTGCAACGTATGGATAGAATCTTGTTATTTAGAACATATCAACACGATAAATTAACAAGGGAAGGTTTTGTGTTTCATACTTCGTGTGTCACTGGCATTGATAACATTACTGTCTCGCCATCAATGCTGCAAAATACCATTGCATTAGTGAGTGAGTTAGTTGGGTTAAACGCCGCTTTGAACAGTATTCCAGTGGGAGCTTCATGTGGGAGGAAAGCCCGAAGTGATGCAGGTCTAGACGTTTACCACTTTGGAGATTGAATCAGTTAAACGTAAGTAGAACATTAGTAATCTCGTACACCTTCCTTAAGATAACTTGTAGACTTGCAAATGTAAATGTTCATATCTCGCATAAATAATTTACCCTTTGCAAATTGCACGTGGATTTTTGAGAGGCAGAATAAATCCCTTATACCCCGCTTCCAAACCAAAAGCGAGACAATGAAATCACTCGACATAGCACATGTTAACCTCAGCTCAATTATCTGTTTTCTATCATTTTTGAATGTATTATTTCTTTTACAATGTCTTATTAAAACATGTCGGTTAGATAAATTCGGTCTAGCAGTATTAATTGGGGTAAATGTGTTTTTAACGTCCCTCCGGCTCGACGTATAAAACCTAACGCGGGACACACAAAACCACATGTACCCTCGCGATAATGTTACAAGTTATAAATATTTTGCGGTCTCAACTGTACAAGTGTACTGTGATTATAGCAGATGATCAGATATCACCAACAGAATACACCAACAAATACTTACCCACGATTAACCAGCACAGGGTGAACACCCCGACGATCAGACCCACCACGGCGCCACAACCAGCACAAGCCAGTTTCATCTCGCCTGACTCATCCTTCGAGGGCCGGCATGAACAGTTAAATACCATAGTGGTGACTCCCCCGACAATCAGGAAGATGGGAACCAAGGACTGGGCTGGACAGTCGTGGAAGTAAATCGCACCTGCAGAGGGGGGGAACATAAACAGCGAAAACGTAAAAAATATTAAAATATAATGTCAACACTTCTTTCCTCTTTTACATAACTCCCTCCAATTAATAAAGGTGTGTTCGTGCTGTGAAGAATGAGAAGATAGGCCTTAGCTTTTTTTTCATTTGGGATTTCATGTCGCGTGCGTGCGTGCGTGCGTGCGTGTGTGTGTGCCTGCTTGCACTGGTGCGGACTGAAGCCCGCTTTATGGTACTAGCCCACAGAGATACAACAAGTACCATCTTTTAACGTCTTTTGGAATGAGTGAGTTGATGTGTGTAACGCCGCTTTTAACAGTATTCCAGTTATATCACGGCGTGTCAGCTTAATGTGGGAGGAAAGCCCGAAGTGTTGCAGGTCTCAGACGTTTCCCACTTCGGTGAAAACCACGAGCACGGGTATGATGCTGACAAACCTAGAAACATAATCGGGGCGAACCGAGATTCGAACCTACAATCATAGGTTTCTGGTGTGCCCAAGGGACGCAACTCTGCACAGTGAATCGCGGCGCCTTAGACGACTGGGCCACCCGTGCCCCTTCTTTTGGTATGACGCGACCAGGCATCGAACCCCGACCTTCCGCTCTACCAGTAGGCCACGGAAGCGGCCGTTTCTACAAGATCGTAATTGTAGAGACTTACCCATAGAAATCTTGGCTATGTTGAGGGCAGCTCCAGCAACGACCATCAGCAGAATCAGGCAAAATATGGCTGTAATTTAAAAAAAGAAATGAAATTATTTTCAGTGACCACAGTCAATAGTCAAAAGACACCTTTCTTTTGAGGTACAATCGAACATGTGCTTTGTACGAAGATTCATAGAGCGTCACTCGACTCTTGCTGAAACGTTGTTTGATCAGGGTCACTTTCAAGGCCCAGTCGAGGTTTCAGAACGTTTTTAAGTCTATATTGTACCTTATGTTCCCATGTTGTTTCAGGTGAACAATTGACTTTTCTTTGCATGTGTTTGTGACGTCAGTGGGGCAGGATACGCTCACCTTGATGTGAACACCTGGTGTCATCACTATTAGATAGTGATTCATAAACACATGCTTGCTTATAATAGGAAGCGTACAATAGATTCTTCTTTCAGCAGGGATTTCTTATGATTACGAAATGGCTTTGTCCTTTTTATTTGTGTGAGAAACGCATATACATCATGACTAGGTACTGTCGAGTAATTAACATACTATGTCAACCGATTGCCTAAATATGTAAATCATCTGCAGAATATATCATTGTGATCGTACCCTTAAATACAAGCGATGAAAACCATATATCTCGCTTTGCACCGATCTTTATGGAGATTTGAAATCAAGCCCAAAAGAGGAACGGGTATATCTTCAGGTTGAAAACACATCTGTTAGTAATCACCGCATACATCTGTTGGTTGTTCAAGTTTGTATTGGGGCTTTGTTTATTGATGGTTTTGATTGAATGCTTCAAAACACAAATTTCTTTTCTTCCCAACATTTTCGACCGGGCAGCCATCATGTCCAGCTTACAAATTTAATAAAACTTGATGCATTATTAATGTTCTGTAAATAAAAACGACAAAGCTATGTCCATGATCTAAATAAATTATGCTTAAAGTAGAATCAACTTTCCGATGATTCTGACTATAAGGTAAGCATGAATTTACGAATCAATATCAATAATAATGATACCACGTGTTCGTGAAAATTTAAGGTGAGCGTGTCCTGCCTTATCGGAACCCGTCACAAACACATGCAAAGGTAAGTCAGCTATTCACCTGAAAAAACTAACAAGAACACATAGTGCAAGTCAAAAGAGATACAAATGTTGTTTTTTTCAAAGTGCCAAATAGTCGGCCCCTGACTGAAATGCATTTAGATTGAGACATAAGACTTGACTTGATACTGCGTCACACGGAGTACTTACTTAAGAGTGATTACTTCCTGTGATGACATTCAAGGCGGCCATTCCCAAGTTTCAACTTCCGGTATACACACTGCTTCTGATTATCACGTCGCCAGAGAGATTGGGTGACCGAATGATGTTTTAGCCACAGTCAGCCATTTCACAGCTAAATGGCAGCGGTATGCACATAACCGGATCATATTCCAGTGTTTAATAGCATCGAGAATACAAACAGCCAGGTCGCACACATTTGACCAAATATCAGTCGTCTTCTTCACCTCATGGAGGGGGCACGGGTGGCCCAGTCGTCTAAGGCGATGCGATTCGATGTGCAGAGTTGCGTCCATTGAGCACGCCAGAAACCTATGATTGTTAGTTCGAATCCCGGTTCGCCCCGATTGTGTTTCAAGGTTTGTCAGCACCATATCCGTGCTCGAGGGTTTCACCGAAGTGGTAAACGTCTGAGACCTGCATCACTTCGGGCTTTCCTCCCACATTAAGCTGACACGCCGTGATATAACTGGAATACTGTTAAAAGCGGCGTTAAACCCAACTCACTCACTCACCTCCCATGGTGTGATGTAGATTTACCCCAGCCCAGAATCCCTATAGGGTAGGTCATAACAGAAGCATTGTTACATACCACACGTGCAACTTCCGACCAGACATGTTAACAGTTTTTGCGAGAAACTGAGTGCTCCAGTTGACTCGCTGCGCATCTCCTGCAACTTCCGGACACTGTCTAGACGCTTCAGGCTCGACATGGCGACGGACAGTGGGATATCCTGGTCACAACACAAATATACTGTTTCAGTCTATTTCCTTTTTCAAAGTACTCGATATCAATGTCACTTTGTATTCATTCAAATATAGTCATGCTCAAACTAAACATGGATATTCGTTTGATAGGAGTGAAAAGTGAAACGTAATTTATCCGAAACAGGATCGACGAGTCATGATACCTAAACTGGCACATCAAAATTACATACACAACAGCCTCTTTTATTGACACGATAGTATCTTAGCAGAGATGCCCCACTAGGTAATCAATAATGATAATAATAAAAATAATAAAAATAATAATAATAATAATAATAATAATAATAATACCACAACCATGTACCGCAGGGACGAGTTAATTGCACAACAACACAACACATATTTACAACTGAGTGGGGAGAGAAATATGATAAAATTGCATGCTTGTAATTTATGGTATATTATGCCATATTCATTAATAGTCACCATTCAAAATTTTCAGGAAGATTGTAAAGTTGTCAAGACCGTTACGTCCCGACAGTGCTAGGAAATCTCAGCCAACCTCTTCGAAACCTACTTCTTTGTCTAAAGCTCAGTATATTTCAGGTTTATCAGTGTATACGTTGATGATTACCCGATTCTGAATAGCGGCAAAGTTCCAATTTCCCAGCTGAAAACCATTCACATCTAGATCCAGACTTACAATAGACCACATAAAGTGGAACATTAGAGTGAGAGAGAGGGTGAGTGAGTGAGTGAGTGAGTGAGTGAGTGGGTGAGTGGGTGGGTGAGTGAGTGAGTGAGTGAGTATGGTTTTATTCTGCTTTCTGCAATATTCCAGCAATATCACGTCGAGAGACCAGAAATGGCCATCCGATATTGTACCCATGTGAAAATCGAACCTGGGCGAACCCTCTGTGAGAAGTGTGCTGAGTAATTAAAATTAGCTGAGATAGAGGTGAATAAAATTAACTAACGTCTATAACACGATTTCTCCCACTACTCTAAAAGAGCACAGCGTTTAATAGAAGATAATATTCATCCATGTTTAACCAATGAGATACCCTTGTAAAAGCATTAAGTTTAAATCATATGGAATGAAATACAATAACAATAAAATTCATTCTATTTAAACGCATATTTACATACACACCCACACTAGTTGACATCCATAAAACTGATCTTATGAAAACGAGTTTAAAACGTCTTCAAAGTTAATGTCATGATGTATTACACTAAAACACTGTGCACCAAAGCAAAACTACACCAAAATTATACTTACTGTGTAGAAGACGATTCAGCAAAGATGTCTTTAGGATAAGACAACTACTTGAAGACGAGCTGTTATAAACAGTAAGCCCTTGACCCACGCTGACGTTAGGGAAGAGGCTTGTCCAGACTGGGATTAATACAGCCAATCACATGCGTCCTCGTAATCGTTTCGCTGTTTTCATTGGTCACCTGTACGTGACTGCCTCTACGCACTGTTAGTAAACAAGGTGTTATTTGCACTAAATGTTGATACGTACATATTCCAAGATTGCCATTTTTTCGCTGTATTTATTAATAAAACTGTATTTGAAATATGACATTGTGTATGGGAGATTGGGGTTGGGAAGGAAACCATTGGACTGGGAACATATTTTTAAAATTCTTTTATGGCAACCCTCCTTTTTCTCCGTGATACTACCACAATATACTCTCAGTACCCGTACACACACACACAAACACACACACAAACACACACACACACACACACACACACACACACACACACACACACACACATCGGGCCGCCTCCGTGGTTAAGTGGTAGTGCGTCCGTCCGGAGAGCGGAAGATCCGGGGTCATGCCAAAAGACGTTAAAAGATGGTACTTGTTGTTACCTTGTCTGGCGCATGGTATCGCGGTGAGCTAGCACTATAAATCGGCATCAGTCCGGACTAGTACAAGCAGCTACACAAACAAACACACGTACATGCACGTCGCTATATCAGTGCAATAATCTTGGACGCCACTATAAACCCCATTCTCCTCATCTCACACCTAACCTCACCTCACACACATCGACAAACCCATTTCCATAATTAAAACAATTCTCAAATTGCAATATGAATATGATATTACGACATCAAATCTCTGTTAAGAGTCGAGTCCATCGTACGATTCCGACTATATTATAAGCAGTGTTTATGCATCACTGTCAGGTGGTGATGATACCAGGAAATGTAATATAATATTTTTACTCTTTCGTATTAATGGTTTCTAATTATTTATTTTAAGAATTCAAAGAAAAGGTTTTTGTGACGTTATCTTAATCACCTGTTTTCTATATCAGTAACATTGTTTAGCCTTAGGAAGTGAGACAAATCAAAATTTTTATTCACAGGTGCACCAATGGGCTTCGGGTGATGTAGTTTTCAAGACCAATAGCAAGCAGAACATTTACAAAACGTCTTGCTATTCTTCGTGTATAGTGGTCAGTTCTTGAGGAGGAAAACAACACAATATATGTCAGCATTAGTAAAGCAACTCTATCAATGCATTCATAATGAATCATAAAACAGTTTCCACCATTTTAACAAATCTCTAATAGAAGAGTCCATTGTATGATTCCATCTATATCATAAGTATGTGTTCATGAAAACAATTCCGAACAAACACAAACAGCCTTATAATAATAATGATCTACATCAAACAAAGACGTTAGACATGTGTGTTGCATTTATCCCTTTGGTAAATCGACTGTACCGTTCATCTTACAGAGAATTTACCAGCTAAGATAGCATATGATATGGTCACTGATAGAGGTCTGAAAATACCTTTTGATAGATCTGTGAACAGATCTCTACGATAGATATCGGAAAACTCCTGTTGTCCGGGTATCCAATTTCTTCCTGATTAAACTCATCTTTTTCTGTTGTTATTGATACATATAATACAATCTTAGTGTTACTCGAGATTAAAGTAAGATTGTTATTTAAAAAAAGAACCCTTTCTAAATGGGAGAAGTGGTATTTTGGGACAATTCCTATGGAATGTTTTATCTCTCATAAATATTTTGGCATAACCTTCTCAAGGAATTTGTCTTGGAAAAGGCATTTTGATAGTGCTATTTTGCAATCCAAAAGGGCATTATTTGGTATTTTAAGAAGTTTATCAAGACTTAAACCCTTGCCATGTGGTGTTTTCTTCAAGGGCTTTTAATAGCATTTTATCTTATGGTGCCGAGGTATGGGGCTTGGTTATTGATTGTAATTCACATCTAGAGATTGTTAATAAGACAGCCCGCAAGTCTTCTCCCAGCGTTCAGATGTTCACTTCAAATCATGTTGCTCGTGGGGGAGGCCAAAAATATCCAGTTTACATTCATTCCTATAAACGTTGTATAACACTGGTGGCCGCCTCCGTGGTCTAGTGGTAGAGCGTCCGCCCGGAGAGCGGAAGGTCCGGGGTTCGATACCAAAAGACGTTAAAAGATGGTACTTGTTGTTACCCTGTCTGGCGCTCGGCATTAATGGGCTAAAACAAGGACAGGTCGGCTCGGAGTCAGTATACTGTGTCTGAGTGGGATATTCATGTTAAACTGCGGCATGGTATCTCAGTGGGCTAGCACTATAAATCGGCATCAGTCCGGACTAGTACACGCAGCCAAAACAAACACACACACGTACATGCACGTCGCTATATAATTGCAATAATCTTGGACGCGACGTTAAACCCAATTTCACCTCACCTTTAACACTGGTATAAAAAGTAATATATGATAGATTTTACAAAAAGTGTTATAATATGATGCTGTCAGAAATGTTTCATGGTAAAATTTGAATGGGCTTCAAAACTAAAAAAAACTTGTATAGAGAAGGTTTTGATGATTTTTTTAAAACCAGCGAATACAGCATATTGATATTTTTGTAATAGAGTTTATGATACGACAAAAATGTATACATGAAGACGACCGTCACGCCTCACTAACAGGTGGCTCTAAAACATTGTTAAATTCACTGTTAAAAACTATAGGTTTCGTAGAGCGTTCGATGGTAGTTCCCATAAATTAAACATAGTAACAGGTCCATATATAAAAACAAGAGAAGAAAGAATATGTAAAGTATATTACTATGGATATGTAGAAAATGAGCATCACTCTGTGCTTTTTTGCGAGGCTTATGCAGATCTGCGTCAAATATATTTTCACAAGAAATGCCATGTACATCCCTTATTACAGAAGAGTTTTTGTTTGTTTGTTTGTTTAACGCCGCACTCAGCAATATTCCAGCTATATGACGGCGGTCTGTAAATAATCGAATCTGGACCAGACAATCCAGTGATTGACATCATGAGCATCATGATCCCCATCTGCACTGCCATTCCAGCTGCCCCCCCTAAAACATGACACACCATCATGTATTTCCACATACTATTACCTTTGGTTGGGGAACGAAATTCTATCATATTTAACATTTCAATATCATACATGGAGTGTGCATGGATTTGTTGTGACATATTGGCATGTTTGTAGCATGGACAGATCATATATCATAGTTATACAGGGTTTCTAAATAATACATGTAGAGAAGACCAGAAGGCATGGAAATTTGCATAATTACAATTTGAATATGCAATACATTTTGTAATTTCATAATATCGAAGTATTTCTTTTTGAATTAGTAAAAAGATTGGTTTGATTTTTTTCCATTAAATGTGTACAGCAGTGATGGGTTTAGTTCACATAGAAAGCAGAACAACCTTTAGAATGTACCTTCAATAACAACAGTAAACACTACTTGTGGTTAACTAAACACAACAGTTTTCTGTGTAAGACCTTCAGGGTGAATTAAATACACTGCAACTTTTACGTCACAAGTTGAAAACTTCTTTTTGTTTTAGCCTGAACCTGTCTACAAAAGGGATGTATAAGAAATGGCCCATGAAATTATTGAAGCAGCTATGATGGAGGGTGTCTTTATTTCCCTTTATTCCATTTTCTAGATGCATTGAGGATATTCAACAGAATGTACATCTCTCATATAGTGTAACATACCATGGATAATACAAGTCTAAACACGTATAACTGTTAAACATGTTTAGACACAGTGACTAAACAAATTAAGTTGTAAAACACGTATAGATTGTAGACAAGAATAAACACATAAACGTGTCAACATTTGGGGACAAAGAAGGCACTTAGGTGTGAGTTTAGGTTTGGACTGAAATGGGCTTGGGCTTTAGTGTCGCGTCCAAGATTATTGCATTTATGCACGTGTGTGTGTGTGCGTGTGTGCGTGTGCGTGCGTGCGTGCGTGCGTGCGTGCGTGCATGCGTGCGTGTGTGTGTGTGTGTGTGTGTGGCTGCTTGTACTGGTCCGGACTGATGCCGATTTATAGTGCTAGCTATAGTGCTGAGATACGATGCCGCAGTTTAACATGAATACCCGCTCAGACACAGTATACTGACTCCGAGCCGACTAGTCCTTGTGAAAAGGATCTAACAAATTTTCACAGAGTAGATCTATGCCGAAATCGCATTCCGTGAGGCATTTTGATTGGTCGTTGAATTCATGTTTAGTTATTCTATAAATGATGTTCACCTTTTCGCGAACACCTACTGTTATCACTATTTGATAGTGATATGAAAGCATGCTTATAATATAGTCGGAACCATATAATGCACTCTTTCCTCTCATGACGGAATGGGGTTTGACGCTTTTAATCACACTGTATTATTTTCACATTCAGGACATCCAACATGTCAACCGAACAATTTGTTGTAAAACATGTAGCAAAATGTATTTTCAGGAACCAATTATTGTTGTTTTTTAAATGTACCTTAACTTAATTTTTTTGGATTCCCAAGTTGACATACAATATAAAACCGATTATTCTATTTCATTAGTTTTATTTACTAATCAAAGTTTGGTAAGAATCACCCCTTTAAAAGATAATATAATATTGCGTGAAGACATAAAACTCTTTCTTATGATTATGGAAAGAGTTTTGTCTCTTACATTTTGGAGGAATAGGCGGGCTTGAGAAAATATGAGTCAAAATATCAGCAGTAGTTGAGCCATATAGTGACTCACATATAAATGATACATTAATATATATATATATAATACCTGTCGAGGATGTATATCGACCTGTCGACTAGTTATCACAGGTTTATATTTATAACAAGCAGGAAAGCATTAAAGAGTATGCCTTTAAGATCCGGCTAGAGATAGCCAGTATCCAAGCTAGATCACCTTACCAGAACACGGAGAACTGTAGGATAAATGTATGAATAAATTATCCTTTGTTATTATTGCAGAAGCCTGGTACAATCAGGTATTAATAATGTATTCGAATTCGTTAAAAATATATATTGCCTTTCAAAACGAACTGACATTGATTTGTATCTTTATGTACATATACTGACCACCAAAAGAAACGCAAACCATAGACACATACAGAAAAGTAGGTACGTAAAGAAGAGATGTTTCCAATGTGTACCACTCAATGACAGGCCTAACAATCAGGCAAATGTTACCACGGAGTGTCTTTATTCTTATCACGATATGCTGCACGTAATTTCCAAAGTTTACACGCAAATCATGCATGAGACAAATGGTGCATCTCGAGTCATGGATCTATGATTGGTTTCGTTTGTTTGTTTGATGTTTTACGCCGCACTCAGCAATATTCCAGCTATATGACGGCGCTCTGTAAATAATCGAGTCTGGACCAGACAATCCAGTGATTAATATCATGAGCATCGATCCACGCAATTGGGATCGACGACATGCATCAACCAAGTCAGCGAGTCTGACCACCCAAGCCCGTTAGTCGCCTTTTACGACAAGCATAGTCGCCTTTTACGACAAGCATAGTCGCCTTTTACGGCAAGCATGGGTTGCTGAAGACCTATTCTACCCCGGATCTTCACGGGTCCATGGATCTATGACGTCACATGTGATGCGTTTATGAGCGTCGGTTCACTCAACATAACAGTGTGTTCGTTTGTGCATCAGACCACTGTTATATCACTTGAATATGAGTAAGTCTTCATATATTAACCAACATGTATGGCACTGTATTGTTTTGTTTGTATTGTTTGCTTTCCATGTCATGTTTTTAGAAACAGTTTGTGTTTGATTGAGCGAGCTGTGAAGATTAACTGCCGGATATATGATTGTCAACGTGTACCCCGCCTGTGGTATGTTCCGCTGAGTGCAAGATACAAGTACCTGACCACTAAAACTATCTGGGACTTTTTCTAAGGAGTCAGTGACACTGAACTGTGCTGCCAGCTGACTAGTACCTCTATCCATCTCAGTAGGGTGGTGTTACAATGAGTAGATCGTTGGGAGCAGCGGTTATCATGGGATACACTGAGATTTTCAACTTATTTCGATGGAATTAGAAATAAATATAAATGATAAAATGGTGTTTAGTTTAGTCATACACTCACGAATGTATTAAGTTCGTGATAACTCAAAACATGTTCGTTTTAATAGGATGCAATTTTGTCCATATCATCCTTAGGGTGGGGAATTATTAATTGGGAAGGTTAGGATCTTCAAGGAAGGGTCACTTGAATGGTTATTCGTAAGGAAGCTCTGCCTCTTTGTATACTGAATTAACTCTCTGATTTTTGTACGAGGAGGGGGGACGGGTGGCCCAGACGTCTAAGGCGCCGCGATTCGCTGTGCAGAGTTGCGTCCCTTGGGCACGCCAGAAACCTATGATTGTGGGTTCGAATCCCGGTTCGCCCCAATTATGTTTCTAGGTTTGTCAGCACCATACCCGTGCTCGTGGGTTTCTCCGAAGTGGTAAATGTCTGAGACCTGTATCCCTTCGGGCTTTCCTCCCACATTAAGCTGACACGCCGTGATATAACTGGAATACTGTTAAAAGCGGTGTTAAACCCAACTCACTCACTCACTTTTGTACGAGGTGTTTGACAAAGCAAGAACCCATCTTTTCAACTAGAAAATAATCAAGGTTATTTAACCGGAAGTGCATATATCTTATGTAGCTCGAGGCATGAACTGCAATGCTAACGGCATGTATTTTAAGTGTTATTAACCCAGAACTGGTTATAACTGTTATTCAGGTAGATACACACACTGTATTGGAGAATTCAAGAAACGTTGTGGATTGGTCAGTTTCTGGTTTGACCTTTCTAGTTTATTGATATAACTACATAACTGTTATAATATACTGCATATAAAGTTCAATTTAACGTTAACCCGCGAAGACCGGTTAGAAGTGGTTTTCAGCAACCCATGCTTGTCGTTAGAGGCGACTAGATGGATCGGGTATTCAGGTTCGTGACTTGGTTGGAGCATGTCATCGCGTTCCAATTGCGTGGATCGATGCTCATGATGTCAATTACTGGATTGTCTGGTCCAGACTCGATTATTTATTAACCGCCGTCATATAGATGGAACATTGCTGTCCCTAAATAATCGAGTCATGGCCAGACAATCCAGTGATCGAAGTGGGCAATGGTCCAATCTGTCAGGGTACGAAGACTTGCACTCAACCAAGCTTGACCACCTGATCCATTTGGTCGCCTCTTACGACCGGCATAGCTTTCTGGGGGCCTACTCTAACCCGCAAGGGGCGGTCAGGTAGCCTAGTGGTTAAAGCGTTCGCTCGTCACGCCGAAGACCCGGGTTCGATTCCCGACATAGGTACAATGTGTGAAGCCCATTTCTGGTGTCCCCCGCCGTGATATTGCTGGAATATTGCTAAAAGCGGCGTAAAACCATACTCACTCACTGGGTTGATACGAGGGTAGGGTTACAACTACAAACAAAAGAGTCAGTAGGACTCTCTACGTTATAGTTCATCTGTACACATTTTGCACTCTTTATAAAAAAATAATAGTAAAACGTGTTTACCTCGAACTCCTTTATTTAGATCGATGGAGACAGTGTAGCTTTCACAGCCATTTCCTTACAAATCGGTTGAAACAATCAAACTTCTCCCCTTATTTATTTATTTATTTATTTTATAGGCACTGTCGACCCGTGAAGATTCCGGGGTAGAATGGGTCTTAAAAATGGGTATTTAAATTTAACCTTGTATCGGCATCACTTTGCGTTAAAGAGATTTCTGTTTGTTTCTATCATATTTCACAGTTCTTCACATTGGAATTTCACAAATGTACCCCCATGAGTCACTGCAATTGACATCATTCCATCTATACGAATGTGCACTTAATATCTGAGCGCAGTAGCCATCCCCACTAGGTTCGTTAGGTCCCCATTTGGGACTCGACACAGGAGTGTTGTCGTACCAGGTCCAGTGGCCGTTTTCGTCCCCATCCTTTGCTCCAATGTTAAATCCCACGAGTTTGCCAACTAAAAGTACATATAAGCTTGTGGTCAAAATTACTCCGAAGGATGTGTGTATGTGGGTGGGTGTGCGTGTGTATTAATGACGCACTCAGCAAGAATCAAGTTCTACGACTGCGTCTTGTACATGTAATCGTGTCTGGACCAGAAAATCCAGTGATTGTTATCACGGGCAACGATACACGCCGACCGTGCCTGGCCATTCTGAGTTAGAAAATATCCCCAGCAACCGACGCTGGTCGCAAGAGGCGACTTTGTTGATCGGGTGGCCAGATTCGTTTGACTTCATGTCAACGCAACCCGACGGCATAGATTGCTTCTTATAGTGCGGCGTCAAACAACTAACAGCCAATAACTGTGACCTTGTTTTTTTTTAGGCGGCAGACATATCTTTGTCAAAAGCCAGATAATAAACGAAGATCAGTAGGCCTGTCGCACATTTTGTTCTCTTGCCTGCCTCAATAGCTTTCATCATAACAGCTTAGTATCTTAGCAGATGCTTCGATACCTTACAACATACAATGAGCTATGTAGGGCAGCCCCTTCTACTACGCCATTGTAATACTGGTTGGGTTTTCTTCAACGCCGCACTCGGAAAAATTCCAGATATGTGACTGCTGTCTGTAAATAATCGAGTCCGTACCAGACAATCCAGTGATTGAGATAATGAACACCGATCTACGCAATTGGGATATGATGTAATGCATTAACCAGGTCAGCGAACCTGACCACCCGCCTCTTACGACAAGCATGGGTTGCTGAAGACTTATTCAAGCCCGGAATCTTCACTGGACTGGTGTAGTTAAGTACCACAACTGTGGGGATTCCGGGTTAGAATATGGGACCCAAGCAACTTATGGTTGTCTTCAAAGGTGACTAAATGAATCGGTGGTCAGGCTCGGTGACTTGATTGCATGTCATCTTATCCTGATTTGGTGGACCGATGTTCATGATATCAACCACTTGATTGCATTGTGCAGACTCAAGTAATAAGACCGTCACCAAATACTAAATATTGCTGAGTGCCGCGTTAAAGAACAAAGTTAACTATTAAGGTGAAATGTTGAGTTTCAAGGTGGAAAACTGACCTTCAAAAAGAATGATGCATCAATAACTTATTTACGACAGTAGCATGGCCAACTAACCAGAAAAATACAACATTAATACAGTATTCAGACTTTACACCATCTTTATGCACTCAACAAATTTCCTATATGACGTACAACTGAAAAGATAATGTTCCTCTTTTGGCCAAAGCATAATCCTAAAAACTTTAAAACAAAATATGTCGAGCACCTGTTTTATACCTGAACACATTTTTATTGTGTATACGAAAAGAAATATCTTATGGACAATTACCTTAAAAATCCAGCATTGCAGAAAATGCAGAACAAAAAACATATATAATATAAGGTTATTTGAGGGTGATGTGGGTCATTATACAGGTAATGTATATTTATAGACGTTACGTACAAGTGATGGATTACGTTTATGTATGCACAGTTAGGACGGACGCGTGAAGATCCGGGGTAGAATAGGTCTTCAGCAACCCATGCTTGCCGTAAAAGGCGACTATGCTTGTCGTAAGAGGCGACTAACGGGATCGTGTGGTCAGGTTCGCTGACTTGGTTGATGCATGCCATCGTATCCCAAATGCGTTGATCGATGCTCATGATGTCAATCACTGGATTGCCTGGTCCAGACTCGATTATTTACAGACCCCGGCCTAAAGCTGGAATATTGCTGAGTGCGGCGTTAAACCACAAACCAACAAAATCCTATATGACGACAGCGTGTAAAAGAATCGATTCTGGACCAGACAATCCAGTGACTGGTGTATATGAGCAAGGATCCATACCGTCGGTGTACGACAACAAGTTATCACCGAGCCTGACCACCTCGCTCAATAGAGTCACCCCTTACGAACAGAATAGGTTGCTCAGGGCCAATTCAAAACGATGACAATTTAAGGATCGTTGCTGGTGCTTTCAATCACTGATTTTTGGCCTTAAACAACATTCACACACTTTTGCACAATTGAGGTTGTTATTCGTTTGGGTTCCACGTATTAGTCAGAATCACCTGATTAATCCTATCCGTGTATATCATTGACGACATACTTAGTAATAGTAGATACACGCCTTATGATCTAAGCCCAACGCAACTTATTATACTAACTTCAATGTTTGTCCTTCATCACGGGGGACCGCCTCCGTGGTCTAGTGGTAGAGCGTCCGCCCGGAGAGCGGAAGGTCCGGGGTTCGATCCGCGGCCCCGTATACCAAAAGACGTTAAAAGATGGTATTTGATGTTACCCTGTCTGGCGCTCGGCATTAATGGGCTAAAACAAGGACTGGTCGGCTCGGAGTCAGTATACTGTATCTGAGTTTGATATTCATGTTAAACTGCGGCATGGTATCTCAGTGGGCTAGCACTATAAATCGGCATCAGTCCGGACTAGTAAAAGCAGCCACACACACATCTGCATGCACGCCGCTATACAAGTGCAATAATCGTGGACGCTACGTTAAACCCCATTTCACCTCACCTTTAACACGGGGAACAGTGGCAGAGTATGATTACCTTCTAGTCTGAGCTCCTGTGCAAACTTAACAATGAGTTCATTCTTGGCTGAAGAGTCGAGCTTCACCAAATGACCATGATCTGATTGACAGTCGATTTCAGCATCCCTCCAGCTCCTCAGTGTATCTGCTTCAAATTTGAAACATAGTCCCTCCAAACGTAGTTCTTGTCTACCGGACACGGAACTGGTAACATATAAATAACATACTGCAGCAGCAATCTTACATAGTCATGTTTCCGAACCCTAATTCTGCATCTGTAATGAAGAAAATATCACTAAAGGTCCATCCGTCTACAACTCCTTCTCATCTCTTACAAAACCATAGACCCGTGAAGATCCGGGGTAGAACAGGCCTTCAGCAACCCATACTTGCCGTAAAAGGCGACTATGCTTGTCGTGAGAGGCGACTAACGGGATCGGGTGGTCAGGCTCGCTGACTTCTTTGCCGTTTACCCAGCTACCTATATTGTAGGCTTGCTGACTTGCTTGATATTAATCACTGGATTGTCTGGTCCAGACTCGATTATTTACAGACCGCCGTCATATAGCTGGAATATTGCTGAGTGCGGCGTTAACCAACCAAACAACCAACCAACCAACAAAACCATAATGAAACTCGGCATTGATGGCGTCAGCAGTGGCATGTGGCATCTCTATCAATTGCCTACAAGTCCAAACCGATTTTTCATATGGCCGCCATAATTTGAATTCACTCGGAGGGACCCCGGGTAAGAATATGTCCTCAGCTACCTATGCTTGTTGTAAGAGGCGACTCAGTGTTTTGGATGTTTCGGCGGGCGATTGGTTGAGTCCTTGTCATCGTAATCCATTTGCGTGGATCGATGCTCACCTCTTACGCCAAGCATGGGTTGCAAGAGACTAATTCTAACCTGGAATCTCAGAGGGGGATAAAACATCAGTTTTTGTACCATGTCATGGACCAACTTCATTTGCTCAATGTTTCACGCATCTTCCCGAGGCAAGAGAGTTAACTGACTATAAAAGTCCAGTTTCCACCCTTGCCGACCTAGTTTGGTATTATGGAGTTTTGGCTGGACTAACGAGTCTATGCATAGTCCAATCAAAATCGCGAACCGAAATCGAAATCAGGTTCGTAAACTGTCATGCAGATTTCGGTCGATTGCAGGATTTGCAAAGCATGTGGACCGCCAACTCGTTGTCAAAAGATATTTTCTAAATCTTTTCAAGTTTTTAATGAAGGTGCTTGCATGAGTTGATGCACTTCGCTATATAAGACCCGTTTTATCACAATATAGATCTTAACTGTCGATCAGATCGTCTTGTCTGGGCGCCGCCTTTTTGTTTGAAACAAATGCAAGTGATGCGAGAGGTGGAATCTTATTGGTCCATTGGAGAGGCATAGAAGGGACATAACTCGCAACAGCCACTGGTGGTGCTACAATCGATCCCAGGAATTCCAGCCAAGTTTGGCAAGGGTGGAAAGTGGACTTTTATAGTCAGTTAACTCCCTTGCCTCGGGAAGATGTGTTTCACGCCTAACTCAGCAATATTCAAGCTTTATCACGACAGGCTGTCAATAATCGAGTATTGATTGGAGAAAGCAGCCCAATCAAACACGTCACCGAGCCTGAACACCACATCGATTCTGTTCCCAACCCACTGTGAATCATGAGCTGTAGTCTCACAATTTGACAATACGTTTATAACAAACACGCTTGTAACGAACTGACGGATATAACGAACTAACCTTTTGGCCCCGGTCATTTGCTGTATATATGCTGTACACGTGCCTATAACGAACTACGGTTATAACGAACTAAAATTAGTGATCCCTTTGAGTTCGTTATAACCGTAGTTTACTGTAATTTGAAACTGTCATTTTCAGTGCACGTGCGTATATAATTCCAATCGCCTTCGTGTAGTGGATAGATCGGTTACCTGGATATTGGAAGGTCGGTATTATTATCCCCTGGTTTTGTGAGTGAAATAAGTGCAATAAGAAATCTGCTACTAAAAGTTAGTTCAAATATTTACATGAAACGTTTGCTTACCTGTTCTTATGTAGGCGCTCCCGGAATGTCTTCTGACACTCTTAACGTCATGGAAGAGTTTACACTCACTCGATCTAGGGTCATATATGAACGAACGACAGACGATAGATTGTGTACATTTTCCACCACAGCGTATAACTTCAAATGGTTTGGCATGCCTCTTTCCGTTTAGGCGATGGAATCCTCCTTTAACAATGCCTTGAGGCTGAAGTGACTTTGACATCCTACAAAAAATAGTACCTTGGGGTGTATTGTTCGTTTGTTGTTTAAGGCCATACTTAGCAATATTCCAACAACATGGCGGCGGTCTGTAAAATAATCGAGTCTGGACCAGACAATCCAGTGATTGATATCATGCGCATCGATCCACGCAATTGGGATACGATGACATGGATCAACAAAGTCAGCGAGCCTGACCACACGATCCCGTTAGTCGCCTTAAATTACGACAAGCATAGTCACCTTTTACGTCAAGCATGGGTTGCTGAAGACCTATTCTACCCCGGAATCTTCACGGGTCGAACTGTGGTCGTGTGGCGAGTGGGTAGTTGTCGAAATGGGAGATTCCAGGATATCTTGGATGTACTGATTACCTGTGAGATTGCCTTGTATGGTAACCATGTCTAGGTTACATTAGATACCCCTTAATCATTACCGAGTCTACCCTATAAGGGAAGTTGGCTTGGTGTTCCTTGGTGTATGGACACGTTTCTTCGAATAATAATTCAGAATATTACAAGATCAATAACCAGACTAGCTTTTAGCTACATGACACTTTCGATTCGTTTGTTTCTTCTTCAACTGATAATAATTAATAAATATATATATACCGTCATAGTACGAAGACACAGAAGCGCAAACAAGTCACCGAGCCTGACCGTCCGATCTATTTACGACCAGTGAGTGAGAATAGTTTTATGCCGCTTTTAGCAATATTCCAGCAATATCACGGCGGGGAACACCAGAAGTGGTCTTCACCCAAGTCTGGAATCGAACCCGGGTTTTCGGCGTGACGAGCGAACGCTTTAACCACTAGGCTACCCCACAGCCCCCATGTACGATCAGCATAGGATGCTACTTAATAGTAAATGAAAGTGACAACCCCTTTCCGTAATAATAAGAAATCGATGCAATAAACGATTTTACGACTATTTAATAAGCATATGTTTTCTAATTCACTGCCAAATAGGATGATATCAGAGTTGGTGAAATGTACTTACCCAATAATGTCTGCGAAAACGACAAATATAGCGATGCCGCATAGCAAAGTACTACTGTTAGCTCCGCACATCTTTATCGTGGGTATATTGCGACCGTTAGTCTTCCTCTCCTGACACCAAGTGGCGTTTGTATTTGTGAAATGATGTCGTGAACGATTCTCAAAATCGATGCCCTTTAATAATAATGGAGTAGTATGGGTAGGTGGCAAACCTCTGAAGTCTAAATCGAGAAATATTATGCCATCGAATATGTCGGTTAAGTACCAGGGTTAGTCACACTTGTGCAACTTAGTATTGTTCATATTGACTTTCTGTGTACATATCATTTGAGTGTCACCCTGTGTCGAAGATTATAGACAGACTATTTCAATATTCTGAGTGGGCTTGGATTGTTCTTTGATGCCTTTAGGAAGCTACTTTAAACGAACGTGCATCTTTTCTTCTCTCAAAGGATGAACCCCGTGAAGATCCGGGGTAGAATAGGTCTTCAGCAACCCATGCTTGCGTAAAAGGCGACTATGCTTGTCGTAAAAGACGACTAACGGGATTGGGTGGTCAGGCTCGCTGACTTGGTTGATGCAGGTCATCGATCCCAATTACGTGGATCGATGCTCATGATATCAATCACTGGATTGTCTGGTCCAGACTCGATTATTTTACTGACCGCCGTCATATAGCTGGAATATTGCTGAGTGCAGCGTAAAACAACAAACCAAAACAAACCTGAAAGGATGAGCCGAACATTGTTAATTAATTTTCTATTCATGTTATTGCAGTAGATTAACACTCACGATTACTGCCAAAAGCAGACATGGTCATGCTCGTGTTAATGAGAATGCAAACTGTGTCAAAAGCATGTTGAACATTACGTTCAAAATCAACACGTTGATACATATATGTCTCTGTTGGCTTACGTTTGTGACCTATGCCAAGGCTCGCTAAATACAATTTTCATTCCTAATGCAGGACATTTACCATCCCCAAACACACTGGCGTGATAACCTCTTTATCATAGTAAGGTCATTCTTTCATTCTGTGCTTGAAAATCGCTTTCCATCTATCACAAACATTACCGAAACATTGCGAGTTTTCCTTTATTGCGTCACAGGGTAAATGATGTGTCAGTCGGACAGTGACAGTAGCCAATATAGTTCCAACTGAAATCTGTTCTTATACAGTGGCGAAGCAACATGTACGCAAAACGACAATTGTTTTTACTTGGATTTCGCGGCAATCCATCGGTCTGTCCGCTAGAGTAACTGCCCTTTGTCTAAGGGAAGCTACTCTAACCCTTGTCTATGAGACGTCACGGCCACATTCAGACGTTGTTGGCAGTCGGTCTGTCCTGTCATAACGTTAAGAAGTACAGTCAGATGTACACACAGCGACAAAACGAAACGAGGTAACATTTCGAACATATTTCGGATAAATCTAACTATTTCAATTTGTGGAATAGGTTTCAGGCCGCAAAGGTATACAAGCACAGATATAGCTACTGATCCCGCTTGCCTACTCCTAATGCCCTCGCAAAGTTGTTTGGAATTTTTTTTATCTCATATGTTGCCAAAACTATTAAAATCCCTTAGCTACGTCACAGTTAGAAAATGATTTTCAGTATATTAGACTGTTCTTTTGGTAATTATAGCAATTATCCCTGTAGTTTATCAATATTCCCGAAGGTTAATTCTGACTCGATCGCCGAATGACAAGGGCGACGCCATGTTTGTTTATAAACACTGAAAGTAGTCCCTACTTGACCTTTGATATTTGCATCTCTATCCGCATATGACCCCAACGGATATCCTTTTTAGCCGTTGGCTTTATCCTGCCGAGAGACCTACCCATTATGTGATAAACAATCTCATTAAAATCAGATCCTAGTTCTCGCTATCGCAAAACACAGATCTGAGGACATCCCATTACGGGTCACGTCAGAACGACCTTTCATCCGACCAATCAGATCGTCACTTACCAGATCATGAAAGTGACAGTCGGAATGGGTTTTCTAATCATGCAACCTTGAAAACGTTAACACGGGGTATTCCGAATGATAGTTATGGCCCGTACGACTGATTCCGTCAAAATCATCGCCTATCTCTCGCTTCCATGGGAGAAACAAATGAACGAAAGAGGCGTTGCAAAGTACGTGGGAAGTATTTCCATACAATCTCAACCATATATTAGCCTTTCCGGAATGTTCGTTTCTTCAGTGTTCAAAATTTTAACCGAGAACTATGTCAACATATTTTTCAAGCATAGCCTGAAATGGAAGTCGCCAGGTTGAAACGAGTGCCGTAAAGCTCCGAGAAAGCTGCTTTCTAATTGGCTGATGTCGACTTCTTGTAAGTCCATTCGTCACCACTTGCCCCTTTCCGTAACCTGCAAGAAGACTCGTCCCCCTATCGATGAATGTTATGTGCGAAAATACGACAAACCAATCCGAATGCGCGTATGATTTCAAGTTCTTCGTCAAACAATCCCTCAGAAATAATTTCTGTTTTTACATATGTCTTGCATATAAAAATATACCCAAGACACAGTTAAATGTGTTCAATCATACTGTATAATTTCGCATGTCCTGATGTGCTTTTAATTGCATCTGAAATATAAATGATATATAGGGAAATATATGTGAACCATTGCGCAACAAGTTGACAATTGTTTTAGGTATGCCCGTTTGCGCTAAGACGGAACCCGGTTGCAAAAATGGCCACAAGAGGGGCACGAGTCGCTATTCGGCTTGTCCCGGGATAACACGAGTTGGTCACGAATGCCTGCAACAAGGCTCGTCCCATTCGTGACCAACTCGTGTTATCCCGGGACAAGCCGAATAGCGACTCGTGCCCCTCTCGTGGCCATTTTTGCAACCGGGTTCCGTCCGTGTGTGTGTGTGCGTGTGCGTGTGCGTAAAACATAATGGTGCAGACAAACGAGTGACTGATATCATGTGGCTGTGGCAACAAATGACTGAAACGCTCGTAAAAAAACGAGCGTTTCACACATTGTACCCATGTGTGGAAACGAACCAGAGGCTTCGGCGTGACGAGCGAACGCTTTAAACACAAGGCTACCCGACCGCCCCGGTGTGATTTAGAGTTAACCCCTTTGGTTGTTGACAAAAAGCATGACAGTCTTGATCGTTCAAGAAGTTTCGGGACAGTTTCTTGAAGGTTGACTGTCCCTACATGAGAGCGATTCGAGACCTTTGGCCACCTAACAGTGGCGGAACTAGCATTGTAGCAGAAAAGTAATATATTTACACCTAAGACAAAGCATATTTTTTTAAGAAACGTAAACCTCAAATACCATTTATGCAATAACATATTACTTCAAACTCTACACGGTCGAACATGACATTTATTGGGGGTGGGGGTGGGGGTGGGGGTGGGGGACTGGAAGAGTTCCCTGTCCAAAGTATACCAGATTTTGTTTTGGTATACACATTTGCTACCATGGTTACTGCATCTCGTACTCTAATGCTTGAAACATAACA